ATCGTCACCTTCCTTCCTTCTTACGCCTTCTAGTCTGGCACTTATTGATTATAGATCGACATAGGCGGTGCATACCCCGTCAGCCTCTCCCCTTGACTGGGCCTGAACTTTCTCTCCTTGTACCACTCGTGCGCTGTCTCGGCCAGCTTTTCTACCTCGCTGAAATCAAACGATTTGCGGTCGGCAGGGAGTCCCTCGTAAAGACCGCGGGCTAGGTCGGGGGATATATTGTATTGTTGGGCGAGGTATTTCTTCTGCAGAAGGGTGTTATTTGGGATCTGGGTTATGAGGATTGTTGGGAAGGGGGAAGGAAGGAAGGTACCTTGATGTCGTCATACTTGACGAATTTGAGCATATTGACGGTGTTCTTGATTGTGTTTTGCTTCTCCTGCTCCGACATGACGCGCTGCCAGAGCTCTCTCGCTTGATCATAGTCGTTCTTCTTGCCCTCGTGCCAGTAGTGGCTCTTGCGGCTCAGGATGTTGTCGCTGACTTGGTAAGGCGCCTCAGCAACATCTGGGCGGAACTTGTGCGCGAAGCTGTTGGGTGCGTAGGGCTTGTTGCCGGCATGGTTGGCGTCGACGCGCATTTGACCATCGAAGGCGAGAGGAGCGTAGGACTGCGCCATGAAGGGGCAGTTGACAGGGACTTGATGCAGGTTGACGCCGATACGGTGGAACTGGGCGTCGCGGTAAAAGAACATGCGGAACTGAAGGAGCGGGTCGGGAGAGTCTTCGATACCGGGGACCATGCTGCCAGGGGAGAAGGCAGCTTGTTCGACGTCGCGGTGGAAGTTTTCTGGATTCTTGTTGAGGACGAGGCGGCCAAACTCTTGCATGGGGAATTGCGACCGTGGCCAGACCTTGGTCACGTCGAAGGGGTCGAAACCGAGTTTCTCGGGGTCAGCGTCTTCGGGCTTCATGACTTGCACATAAGCCGTCCATTCGGGATGCTCGCCCCCCTCAATCGTCTCCCAGAGGTCGCGCTTCGAGTAGTCTGGGTCTTCGCCGCACATCTTGGTGGCTTCCTCCTGGGTGAATTGCTTTTGGCCGTGCTTGGCGATGAAGTGATATTTGATGTAGACAAACCTCCCTTCTTTGTTGACCCACTTGAAGGTGTGGCAGCCGTAGCCGTGGTTGAAACGCCAGCCTACGGGAGTTCCGTGGTCGCTGAAGAACATCAGGCCGGCGTGGTTGGCCTCGGGAGTGTTTCCCAGGAGATCGAAGATGGCATCGTAATCGAAAAGGAAGTTTTGAGGGTTCCGCCACTGGGAGCGGATAACGTCAGGGCCTTGGATGGGGTCACGGCAGAAGAAGACTGGCTAGACGAGTCAGTGTCGTATCTTTGCCGTGCTAACTGCGCAGATGGGCGACAACTTACGAAGTTCAATCCGACAATGTCGTAATTGCCCTCCATGGTGTAGAACTTGATTGCGAAACCTCGCGGATTACGAGCTTCATCAGGATACTCACGTCCAGGAGTTACCGTCGAGAATCGAACGAAAATGGGCGTCTTCTCGCCCACGGTCGACAAGAAGTTTGCTTTCTAGGATGTGGTTCAGCTTCCACCGGTATACCATGTTAGTGATGGGCGAAACGTCGAACGTACTGTCAAATCGGTAACATTCTTTGTGCACTCGAAGAAGCCAAACGCGCCGGAGCCACAGGGATGTACCATGCCTAGCAAGCACTGGTGAGCATTTGGGAAGGGAGGGAAGGATATGCTGTCCAAAGTCCTCACTCACGCTCAAGGTTTTTGGAGCGATTGAAATGCTGCTGCTTCTGGAACAAGAAGACATCACTGGCCACGGGAATGCCGCCAATGGTCTTGCTGTGCTCGGCATCGGGCCAGGGAATGCCCTCAGTGGTGGTGAAGTAGAGGGAGTCATCCTCGCGCTTGCCGCCCTGGACGGCGCCCGACACTTTGCCAATGATGTCGGCAGGCCCTTCGTTTGCGCTGGCCATGTGGCTCATGCGCGGTGCGCGACCTTCGCCGGTAGCCGCACCCTTGATGGCCATGGCAGTGGCCTGCAGAGGGTGCTGAAGGGGGTCGTTTTGGTTCGTGTTGGCGCTGGTGGAGGACGGCATGATTTTGGAGGGGAGGCTGGAAGGGATGTAGTCCATGCAGGTGAGTGGGTGCTGGAGGAGAGACGAAAGGCCTATGTGTGGGGAGGGACTCTACTTGTATTGTTTACTCTGTGCTTGCTTCGCGAGAAATCAAGTCGGTCATATTGACATCGTCATCATCATTATTCGATGCCCCTTCCTCCCAGGGCCCCCAGCAGCCCAGGATTTCAAGGACTCGTTAGCATTCATCTAGGCATGATCATTATTGTCCATATATATGAACCAGGCAGGGACGTCCGTATGCCAAGTATACCGTATTGAGAACTGCTATTTCGGTGACGGCATTGGACTATAGGACTCGGTTGTTGGTGGTGTTGAAAATGATTGACGCCACTGTGACGTTTGTCTGTTTACAATCTATGGACCAGTCAAATGGCCCCTGCTTCTTCAGATACTGTTAGCGTGTAGATACTTGTGATAAGACTCACATACTGTGATATGTGGATGCCAACTTTTGTACCGTGTACGAAAAAGATAATCGCTCTCGATCAACTGCTTGTGCTGTTTCGTCAGTTGACATGGAACATTGAATGGCCCACCACCCACCTGTCTACCTCGCCTGCCTTTTGTCTTTTAACACCACGCTGGGCCAAGACTTCATCAGAAAGTAGCACCGAAAATGGCAAAAAACATACAACACCACGCTATTCGCACCTGGTCACCCACGGTACTACTCAACGGGCGCTACACGGCTTGTGTATGGTCGATCGGACGAGAGGCCCAATTTTCCGTGTGCTATGGTCGTATGTGCTAGCTTCCACTTTTCTTTTCATTATGAAATGAACCTGAAAGAGCGGTAGGACGATTCTGCAAGTCATCATTCAACACCACGAACTCGGTATACGCTCCCTAGTGCATCTCTTCTATGTATAAAGTAGCTTGTGTCTGTATTGAGCTGGTATGTACACAGTAGCGCCAAGGAAGCAGACGGTGGCAGGCCGCTCAATCGAGAAACACCCACCGTCGACCAGGGTGTGGCTGCCCTACTGTGGAACTGTAGGCGTAGCGGGAGCTTGGTCGTCTCTCCTCCGCAGTGAAACTCCCCAACCTCGCAGCGCAGCCGTGACAAAAGAGCCCCAAAACGGCCCCGTACAGTTCCAAGGTGTTGGAAAGGCGACCGTCTCCTTCCCTACAGGTAGCGACTTCCCAACCACCGCTTTCACCTTTACCTAGGTACAACATCCCCGCCTGGCCAACCCCACCTGGACTATATAGCACCCATGGGCGATTTCAAGCTTTCGGCGTCGTTGCGCGGCCACGAAGATGATGTAGGTAGCTTTGCTCTGAAACTGGTGGAACCGACTGATCATGGGTCTTCAGGTGCGTAGTGTTGCGTTCCCTACGCCGACTACTATCGTCTCCGCCTCCCGCGACTTCACTGTCCGCTTGTGGCAGCGCCAGTCAACCACCCCACCCTCGTATGACAGCACCATCAAGTTTCACGGCACCGAATTTGTCAACTCCCTAGCCATTGTGCCGCCGTCGTCCACCTACCCCGACGGTCTTATCGTGTCCGGCGGTAAGGACCAGATCATCCACGTACACCAGCCGAACCAAGCCGTGGGAGATAATGCGGAGGCCTTGCTTATAGGGCATGCGAACAATGTGTGCGCACTCGATGTCAGTCCCAATGGGAACCTCATAATAAGCGGTAGCTGGGATACTGAAGCTCGCGTCTGGCAAATTGGGAAATGGGAGAGCTCAACGGTGCTCAAAGGACACGCAGCTTCCGTGTGGGCAGTTCTTGCCTATGACGATTCCACCGTCATAACAGGTATGGGCCTCAGACGCTTTCAGTTTTTGAACCAGCTAATACGACCCAGGCTGCGCCGACCAGAGCATACGCATATTTCAACCCTCAGGAAAGCTAGTGAAGTCAATACAGACTGGAGATGTGGTGCGAGCACTGTGTCGATTACCCACCAACCACCCCTCCGGCGCGCAGTTCGCCTCTGCCGGCAATGATGCCGTTGTAAGGCTGTGGACATTGGAGGGACGTCAGGTCCAGGAGCTTCACGGCCACGAGAACTTCATCTATTCCTTGGCTGCGCTTCCCGATGGGCAGCTTGCTAGCTCCTCCGAGGACCGCACAGTGCGGATATGGAAAGGTCAACAGTGCGTACAGACAATCACCCATCCCGCGATATCTGTCTGGTCGGTCGCAGCGTGCTCCGAGACTGGAGATATCGTGACAGGAGCCAGCGACCGCATCGTGCGCGTTTTCACACGGTCGCCAGAGCGTTATGCAGACGAAGCAGCTATCGCGCAATTCAATGATGATGTCAAATCATCAGCGATACCCCAACAAGCGCTTCCCAATATCAATAAAGAACAACTACCTGGCCCCGAATTCCTATCGCAGAAGTCGGGTACTAAGGAGGGACAGGTACAAATGATTAATGAAGCCAATGGCAATGTCTCAGCGTATCAATGGTCGACAGCCGCAAATCAATGGATTAACGTCGGCACCGTGGTCGACCAGGTTGGTAGCAGCGGGCGCAAGATATCACACAATGGCAAGGAGTATGACTATGTTTTCGATGTGGACGTTGAGGAGGGAAAGCCCCCTCTCAAGCTGCCATACAACCTCTCGCAGAACCCATATGAGGTGGCCCGCAAGTTCTGCGAAGATCACAAGTTACCAATCACATACCTTGACCAGGTCACCAGCTTCATTGTCCAAAACACCCAAGGAGCGACACTGGGGCAACCCGGAGCGCCTGGAGCAGACCCTTGGGGCACTGACTCGCGGTATCGTCCTGGAGATGCATCCGCAGTACCACCTCGACGACCGACGCCTAAACTCATCCCTCAGAAAGAATACCTAGACATCTTGACTGCGAATCATAAAGTCATCTTCAAGAAGCTACAAGAGTTCAATCAGAAGCTGATAGACGAGGGACTCAAGGATTTGTGTTTCAATCCAACCAATATTGAAACGCTGGAAACCACCGTTGCGGCACTGGAGAGAGGGCAAGAGAAGGCTATAACGTCTGAGGGCGTCGACCTAATCGTCAAAGCTGCAACGCAATGGCCAGAGGACAAACGCCTCCCAGCGCTCGACCTGCTCCGTCTTCTTTTCGCATACAGCACACCTGTCACTTACCTAGCCTTGCAGCAATCCATCCTAACCCTCCTCGCCGAATCTGGTGTCTTTGCTTCCACATCGCCACCCAACAACACCATGATGGCTGTGCGGTCCCTCGGCAACCTCTTCAAAACAGAGGAAGGCCGTGCTGTGGTGAATGACGAATTCGATGCCGTTCACAACTCGGTCAGTCCGTTCCTCACCGTTACTCACCGCAATCTCATCATCGCCATTACGACCCTCTACATCAACTACTCGGTTCTGTTCTCGTCGAACAATAACGCGGATCGTGCCCTCACTCTGCTAGACGATTTGTCCAAGATATTGAACAGCGCTACGGATTCCGAGGTTGTGTACCGTGCGCTCGTCGCTACGGGCACTCTTCTGTCCCTTGGTGACGAGTACTGCGAAGCTGGCAGAGACGTGTTTCACCTGGGGGATGGGCTTGCGAGGGCAGAGGAGAAAGTGAAGGAGCCTAGGATACGCAATGTGGTGGGTGAAATTAGGGCTTTGCTGAAGTAAGGTGGGATGCGAAGCGAAGTGGGGACGATGCCAGCGGGTATCAAACTCAAGGAGTAAATCCTGCAAGTAGGGGAAACTGGGACAGTAAATGTCTATGTACGTTCTGACTGTAAAGAGTCCAAGCGCAGCGAGCATACAGTAGCACCTTAGATTAACTGGCACTTGCTTGCCTGCTAACCTAGTGCGCTATCATGGGGTTTGTGCATACGGGTATACAACGTAAGCGCTGGTACCCCATTATTGCGTTGGAGTACAATCTCGAACGACGAACTGACTTTCTCGGATTGAACAACATATACTCGTCAGCTGATAACATAGCCACCATCCACAACCAACCCCGCGCCCGTTACAAAGCTGCTCTCACCTGTTGGTTTGTGTTAGCTCATCTGGCCTATCATCTGCCTAGATCAACATCACCTGAGCACAGAAACACCACCGTATCCGCGACCTCGCTCGGCAATCCGATTCTCTCCATGGGCGCCAACCTCACCGCTTCCTTTATGTCCTCCTTGACCTCCCCATTTTCCGCTGTCATGGCCGTCGCAATGAACCCCGGACAAACTGCATTTATCCGTACATGATGCGGCGACCTGCTATAGTCCAGCGCATCTCCCCTCGTAATCGCCAATACCGCCGCCTTCGTCGCCGAGTAGATGGACGTCCGCGCCTTACCTACTATACCGAGCTGACTCGCGACATTGACAATTGCGCCTCGCTGGCCACGCACCTGGGCGTCTTCCTCATTCAGACACGAGTACCCTCTAAATGGCCGGATGTCGTTCTTCAACATCAGCTTGAGCTCCTCTTTCTGGCACATCCAGAAAGCCCGGAAATTGATATCGTTCACGTTATCAAATTCTGCGATGCTGATTTCGAGCGCGGGTTTCGATGGCCCCAGCACCCCTGCGCAATTGACTGCGTAGTCCAGGCGTGGGATCTGGGAGAAGAGTTGGGTAGTCGATAGGACGCAGGAGACGTCGCTTTCGTGGAGGATGATTTCAGGATACGTGGGAAGCGGTAAGGAGAGGATCGAGTTCTTGGTGTTGTCGAGACCAGAGCTGCGGATGTCGACGAGGTGGAGAGTGGAGATTCCGGCGAGGGCGAGGGCGATGGAGACGGCGTGACCGATCCCTGGGGGAAGTTAATTTCCCCTTGTTGTGAACAGCGGCGGGGAGGGGAGTGAGTACGTACCTGAGCCTGCGCCTGTTACAAGTGCAGCACCCTCGACGCGCTTGTGTGGCAGCGACGCCATCACGGGAGGCCCTGGAGAGTGATGGGTGTGGGTGTTGGTCCGTTGGATGCCAGGACCGCATGAAGCTATGGCGATTTCAAGCTCATGGCCGGTAGTGTTAGATATTACCTGCTATGGCATCCAGGTGACACTTGGAGCCGAGAGGGACCGGTCGGAAAGCCCACCCGACGTCATCGATGGTTTGTAGTCTCAGGATGATGATACTGTCTGTGTACCTAGGTACAGTAGATCCAATGCCTGGTGCGTCGGAGAAACGTCGGTAGGTGACACCTCGGATTACGATAATAATGATAATAATATGCACAGTAATAACCACGGCGGGTTTTCAAGAGCTGGGCAGAACGAAAGAGCGACTCGGTTAATAAAGTTTGAAGACGGAATGGAGATAAAGACATTGCAATATTTATCAACTCTCGACTGACGAGAGGAGCGTGTTTACTCCTCCTTTGCCTCGCATCGCTTCGTACTCGAATTGCAAACACAGTCATCAACAGGCTTATAGAATGTGTGGATAGTAGGTAGGATGCAAGCACCCACATCAACATTCAGCTCTTCCTCTCTTTTGTGGACCGGAACCCCCTCGAACCGATCCCAAAGCGACAGGTTCCACTCGTCGTGGGTGTTTCCGCATTGTTTGTGAAGCGGGATCGTACACCCCGCGAGTGGGCCTGTGGGTATGTAGCCGCAGTCACGGTCTTGAGAGCAACTGTCTTCGACTCTAACGGTGCTTCGATAAGTTATTCGGAGTTATGTGTGCAGTGGGGAGCTGGCCGAACATACTTCGGGTGTTGGGGAGTAGGTGTGCCAGAGACCAGGCATGCTGTGCTGGAGAGGATGGCAAGAAGAGAAAGCGAAGTCTTCATAGTGCGAAGCGGTTGTGGAAGTTATGATTTGTGGGTTCCGTATACTCTTACCAGAGAAACTGATGCACATTCACTGCGAATAATGAAGACTTATGACATCTCTGCCATTTCTCCATTCGGCTTTATAGTTCTTTGTTTTCTATTTATGAATCATACATGTGTCCTTCTGAGAATTGATGAAGGATGCGATCCTATGAGGCGTTGGCTCATGGCATGGCGTTTGGGGAAGGTTCGAAGCTGTACTTACTGCGAGGGATGCGGCAAGGCTGTGGGGCAAGGCTTTGAGGGACAGATAATAAATAGATGCGAAACATTCGACAGATAATACTAATCTGCAGTCGCCCCAGCGCCCCTTGCCACCTCAGCCGTGCCACTTCGACTACACGAAGATTACCACGAAGATGATGCACTTGTAGTTCAACCAAACCCCCCACCGCCGGCCCTCGGCAATGTTCTGTCGCGTTTATGAGATCTACCTGATCGGCAAGCCGTTCAACGAAGGCGGTATCATTCACGACACGGCACTTCGCGGGGCACCTTACTGTGTACTCCATCAATAAAAATAGACTGGGGACGACTTCGGTCTTAGAAGCAAGTGGAAGCCTTCATTGGATCCCTCCGCACGGACATGTCGCACATAACACGTCGGCTGCTCTCCATTACCACTCCTAGACGTTCCTCTGCAGCTGAAGCATGTTCCGAGCTACTTGAGAGATTCGACAACAAGCCTGTCTCCATTCGCAGACAGCTCTTGGATCGCAACCAGACACAATTATTATCTCTGACACTTGGGCGACCAGAGATACACAAGGGTGTTTCCATAGCAGACTCTCCTCCGGCTGATGGCACACCCTTACCTCCCGGCTACCACCTGGTATACTTCACTCCTGCCATCCTCGAGCAGGATCTCGGTCGCGATGGAACAGACAGGACCGTGAACCCTATCGCCCCTTACACCCGCCGCATGTGGGCCGGCGGCGAGTTGAAATGGAGTCAAGACCCCTCCTCATTCCTCCGTGTAGGCCAAACAATACAGGAAACCACAAAGCTTCTCTCCGCGGTTTCCAAGAAGCTGAAGACAGGTGCCGATATGCTCGTCGTCGGCGTGGAGAAGACGTACACGACAGAAGAGGGGGACGTCGCGCTCATAGACAACCGCAACTGGGTGTTCCAGGAGGAGATTGTCACGCCCCAAGCACCACCCCCGAGGCCGAAGGAGGAGCCCTTTCCTGAAGGCCGCCATGCGAGGGACTTTTGCCAGACGGGTGTTACGCTTTTCCGGTTCAGTGCGCTGACGTTTAATGCACATAAAATCCACTATTCACCACAGTGGTGTCGCGAGGTAGAGGGTCAGAGGGATAGCGTTGTGCATGGGCCATTGAATCTCATCAATATTCTGGACTTCTGGAGGGACACCGCGAGGGGAAGTGAGGAGGGTGCCATACCGAGGAGTATCAGTTATAGGGCTATGTCTCCGTTGTATGTGGGGGAGAAATATAGGTTGTTGTTGGAAAGGACGACTGGTAAGGAAGAGAATGGAGGTTGGAAAGCGACGATTTGGGATAGCTTTGGGAAGCGGAGTCTGAAGGGCGCGATTGAAGAGTGAGTGGTCATCTCCAGCCCATTTGAATTGGTGGATCCCACAAGTCCGTTCCTGATGGAGGTTCTAACCCTATGACATCTATTTGTTCTCGGTGCCGGCAGGCTGAATACAGATTGTTCTCTTCCCACTCCGAAATATATCGCAATCCGATGGGTCGTCACAATTTCTACTCTTGGCACTAACCAAGCCCACTCTCTCCCGCTGCCCTCTCCTATGCTTAGGTTTGATTTGAATAACTGACCTCCCCACACCAAACCCCCAACTTCACGATGACGAGCCCCCATTACCAGCACGAGGAACTGCGCCGACAGAAGCGCGCGCGTCTGGCATGCTTCTCGTGCCATACCCCCGGGGTTAAGTGCAATGTACACGTGAGGCAGCCGTTTCACAATTGATTGCGGGAAATGTGTGTGTATGTGAAACTAGGGCTTTGAGGCGAGGGAAGCATTCGAGGAAGCCAAAGGCGGAGAGTAATAGAGGGGTTGACGTGAAGTAAAATGTTCTTATTGAGCGCTTGAGCATATATCTGACTTCAAAGCGTGAACTGGGCATGCATTCTCCCTTCTTCTTCAAATCGTATCCTTCTCCTTACTCCTGCATATCATTGCCGTTGATGGCTGTTAATACTATCACAGCCATATATGGGCCTTATTATGAAAGAAACCCAGCTTACGCCTGTCCACGTTGTTGTTGACCCTCTCATCCGTCGAGAACCCTTAACAGCGTTTGAGATGGCGCCCGTATCCCACATCACAACTCAACACTACGAAGACGAAGTTAGCGCCTCCCACGTGTTGGACGCCCTTCTCATCACAGCAGCTTCCACGAGCCACCCATTCAGACTTGCTACGAGGACATCCTCAGTACCGGCGTGTCGAGGACAACGTGGGTCGCCCAGCTACTCATTCACCAGAACATGGAGAAGACGCCGCTGTTTTCCTTGGGGAGTCCAACTCCCTTCGTTATGTTCCGGAGATGCAGGCTCCTTCCCTGGGGGCTCGTCGCGCTAGCTTACTTCGCCATTCGGTGCCAAATGGTGTCAAGGCAGATTCGTTGGTACCTCAGTGGGAACCTGAAAAAAGAAAAGCGAGGAAAGAGGCGCTGCAGGTGGAAGAGGCCTTTCCTTCGTTTTCCATGAGAGAAAGCCTTTGGTTTCATCCCGATTTTGCCGTTGTGGATGAGCCTCCAGTGTGGAAAAGACATGCAGAAGGGACGATGTCGCCCCTGCTGTTGCGAGCTATGCCTATTATTGGCGTGATAGAGTTGCGATGATGCCAATTTGAATAATCTGGGAATGGGATCCCGTCATCGTGCCAAATACCTGCACTATACACGAGTAAAGGACATATATGACGCAGAGGTTGAGGCACAAGAGGTCACTGTCGTCTAAGCCTTGTTCCTTAAGTTTTTGGAGAGCAGAGGCTCTTCTCGAAAAAGATGCTTGACACTGACTCGGTACAGCCATCACTCGGGCCTAAAAAAGGCTTTACACCGTCACACAGGAGATCTGGAACTCCCGGTACCCCTCAGCAGAAGGCGCAGCAAACCGCACGGACATTCAGGACTCGCCGTCAATGCGGTGGACATGACTCCATGGTCTCGGACCACCGACGAAGCTAACCAGTACCTCTTCTCGCAGATCGAGATTGACTTCGCCTTCGGCTAAGGTGGCATGTTCGAGTGAAGTCCTGGAAAAAAGTTGTTCGGCAATGTGATGGGCAGTATACTGTCAGAGTCGGCCTGTGCGGGAGGTGGGGGAGGGGTTCCGGAACGACTGGAACGGGGAGTAGGTGAGATGGGGAATAGGTCTGGGACAAGACCAGAACTGGAACACTGGAGGGCGCAGGATTTCATGCGCTTTCGGAGGCGAAGGTGGAACGAGGTTGGTATATATCAACGAGTTTTGAAATTGGATCGATAATGACAACCATCTGTGGGACTTGGAGGAACGTTCTGATAGACGACCTATCGTTGTTCAAATTAACATTGGAGGAATAGTACAGCTGCTGTGCATGTATATCCTGAGACTGGAAACTTCCTGTGTTTTCGTACCGGACTTCCAGCTATTTTGTCAATGCGCGCATGACTATGTGGTACTAGGCTGCGAAGGAGTCACAAGCAAGAGTGCCAGCAATTGCTCAATTATAGCAACTTGCAGCTCCTATCACTATTAATTAGCAGTATATGATATTTTGGCTGCAGAAGTATATGTTGACATTCCGCTGCCTTTATCTATCATCGAATAGATTGTGTAGATGAACTTCAAGCAATAATGTTTCGTGAATGAGCGGGCACTGAACCAGTCACCTCGGACGTGCTTTATAACCATTAATATTGAACCGTAACGGAGAAGATACCATAAAATAGCCTCGAAATCCATTAAGTCACCATTGGTTGCCATCCATCAGCACTCAACTGTTCTCCATCCCCTCACTGTAGCACCTTCACAATCTTGGCCGGACTCGGCGTCCCACTCCCATCCATTGCAAACAGATACCAATAACCGGGTAGCACCACCCCCGCATCCCCTGGCAAGGTAACACTGTACACATTCCCAGTCGTAGCCTTCGTAAATGTCAACGGCACCCGCCTCTGATCCGTATTCACCGTGTGCGTCGCCGTTCCCAGTCTTACTAAACTGAACGCCGTGACTGCTCTATCGGTGGTTACGCTGAACGTCCCACCCAGTTTCAAACTACCCGGCGCTTGCGATATACCTGGCCGCGCGCGCCGAGAGCCATCTGCATTGAGGAGGTAGGGCGGGACGAAGATTTCGCCGTCCCAGTGATTCGTGCCGCAATTCCCGCAGAGTCCACCTCCACCGTTCAGCACGGTCGCGTCGGGGAGGAGCAAAGCAACGGAGTGGTATGTTCTTGGTATAGCCATGGGATTCATCTGCGTCCACTGTCCCGTACTAGGCACCCAGAGTTCCGGCGTCTGCACGGCAGTTGCGTCACTGAATGGCTCTACCCACGACTGGCCTCCCGTTACGAAAACAGTGCCGTCTGGCAAGACAACCCCATTGGCGAAGCCGCGCGCAAAACCCATGGGGGCTGTTTGCGTGACGGTTGGGGTTTGTCCTGGGTTGTTCAGTGTAATGACGTACGCGTTATTGCGCGCTTGATCAGTCTGGTAATTCGCCGCGCCTCCCGCCGTTAGAATCTTTCCCGCTGGAGCGTCGTACATGATTGCATTTCCGTTCATGGCGTCGCCATCGTTAGCGCGGGTTCCGGCACCAGTGGTGGATCCAGCGCCAACGGTGTTGTACCAATTCATTGCTTTCGACGGCCCGGCTTGGAACACGGAGCCGTTCTTCCACGCAAAGAGCCAGGCGTGATTGTCGGCGCGGTAGACACCTCCACGGTCATTGGTCAGCATCGGAGAGACGAGGGCGTTCTGAATCAACGACCAAGTGTTTGCAGAGACGTCGTAGATTTCGCCATTCTTACCGCCGTTTCCGCCGCTCCAGGAGCCACCGATATTGAAAATCTTGCCATCCCAGGTGGTGGTCGTGGATTGGTAACCGCGAGGGATTCGCATGTTGGCTGCTGTGATCCAGGCGTCCGTGTCTGGGTTGTAGATGCTGGTTTTCTCGGCGTTATTTCCGCCGGTGACGATAATGCGGCCATTGAAGTCCATCGATATACCGGGGCAGAACATGTCGTGTTGGGTATTTGAGATGGTTCGTTGGGTTGAGGTGCCAGTCGCGGGATCATAGATAGCCGTCTGTGTGAATCCGTTGCCGCCTCCAAAATCGTCGAGTTTGTACGCACTCCAGAGTAGTATCTTTCCATTGGGAAGCACAGCAGCGGCGGCAGGTACAATCGGGAAATCGACAGTGTTGATCCAAAGTCCTTTGCTCGGATTGGGAGCAGTGTAAGCCGGAGCAATAGTGTCGATGAGATTGACTTCAGCTGCACTACTCCACTGCCCGCGACCGCCAGCTTCGGTCAGGGCGTTCAGACGGAAGTAGCGAGCTCGGATTCGGAATTGTGCGCTCTTCTCCAAGCCGTCGTCCGCCCACGTGCCGGAAGCGACTTGATTCCATGATGTACTGTCGTTGCTAACCTGAACGTTGTACTGGCCGATTCTACCGTTCCCGCCATCGGTACGTGGGAGATATGAGAGACCAGCAACGGTAATCTGGGCTCCTGCGTCAATTTGAAACCAATGCGGGAGAGAATCCACTTGACCACTGTATTTAGTGTGCCATATGGTGTTCTCGTTGCCGTCAATTGCATTTGTCGCCTGATTTCCGGCAGCGCTGGTTTCCTGGCTATCCACTGAGACCGTCCAGCCCGTTCGAGAGGCATATTTAATCTCTCCGAAGACATGTATCTCTGCCGCCGAAGTCCACTGGTTATTCGCACCTTGCGCCTCGGTCACCGCAGTGACACGTACATACCGAGCCTGCCTCGCCACGAAGCTTGTCTTCTTCGTCGTCGCATCGTTGACATAGGCACCGACGGCGACTCGATTCCAATTAGAGTTATCCACGCTGGTCTCAATGATGTGTTGTCCGATACGCCCATTTCCACTCCCATCCTGTCTCGGTTGAATGCTGACTCCATTAACAATATAGTTGCCCTTCATGTCGATTGTGATGGTGTTCGGAAGCGGATTATCAGGAGCATATTCGGAGTGCCAGAATGTGCCCTCATTGCCGTCAATGGCCTTTGCCGGCTCGTTGCCAGCATGGAAGCTATCTGCAGTAGCTTCCCATCCTGTTCTGTCCAGGGGCACACTGGCCGAACCGACTCTCTGGAGGAGAGAAAGTAAGCTGAGTAAGTAGAAGAAAGGAGCGACGGTCATCATTGCGATGCTGCATGTTCAAACTGCGCATATGCTGAGTCTTATATCGACTTGTGTAAGTCAACCCCTCAGCTATCCAGGTGCTTCCACTGCCATGTTGTCAGCCGAGACAGTAATGCCAATGAGATGGCCCCTAGTCAAGGAAATACTCCATCCTTGTCTCTATCCGCCGCCAGCCCGTGTAAGCCTGGTACCAGGATGCGGAAACTTCACGGACCGCGACCCGACATCCAGGCTGATGAACTTTTGACCAGGTTGGGACTCTACACACGTAGAACGGTTGTTTCTACCTCAGGGTTTCGTCCACCTCTACGGTCCACAAACCCGGGTGCAACCTAGACAATCGACAAAACGCGGCACGGGTAAAGCCGTACTCGGGACCGTATCTGTAGGTGGAAGGTAGCTATTATTGTCCGCCTCGAAAGTACGAAGGGGAAGGCCTTTCTTAGAGGATGGTTAGGCATGTGATTAGCCCACCATAGAAAGCGGCCCAGGTAATCATACACAATATGTAGACGGAAAGAATTCGCGCCTTGGTAGGTAGAGTCTGTATCTATCACGCAAATCTGGCTGAACGCGCGGTGTTCACCCCTTCATCTCCAGAAGTGCGAGTTGTAGGTATGTTAACTGAGGAGTTGATGCCGAGGCATGAATCAATTGCAAGGTGCTCATAGCTCGTACCATGTGTGACGCATCGATATGTCTTGCTGTCTTGCCTGCCTCTTCTATTCAGCGCCATTATCGGATGAGCGATGAACAAAGGAAGAAGGTCATTGTCAGATCAAGTGCACAGCCACACTGAGCATAACTGGAGAACCTCGCAGGAGAGATGTCGCATTTTCAGTCTCAATACGGAGTATCCCTGCGAGACGAGCGGCGATGGAACCGAGTATAGCTCAAGAGCTTTGCAAAACCATGGCATTATTGCAAGTTCGTGTCTGCACCCTAATTCGATCCTACGAATAGGCAAGCTGTGGGCTTGGCTAGAATCTGCCAATAACAATTCAGGTCACTCAGCGGCGGTGACAGGGTTCGTATCCGTCTGCACGTAAGCTGATGTCTGCACTTGTCCTTTGGGCGGGAAGGTGGGTAGGAGGAATACGTTCCGTTGCGACCTCGGAATGGCGAAAACTTGTCGGGCGATTGGAGACTCGGTGGTGCTGCGGTGGTAGAAGCGTGTGGCTGTCGATTTGGTTGTCCGAGAGCGGTATACCGTAAGGGCGCCTGGGCGAGCATTATGTAGGCAGAGAGTGGATCGAGAAGTAAGCGTGGGAAACTTCGAAAGTGTTGGCGGTTGAGTGCAAGCACGCACCAACCGTAACCCTAACCCCTCTTGACACAATTCCTTCTCCCAAACATGACAAGATTGGTGTCTGTATGATAATGAAGAAACTCCCCTATTCCCAATCTCTTCTCCGCTCGGCATCACGAGGCGACTTTTACGCTCCATACATCCAGACTCCAACCAAGAGCCAATCAGCAAACAATCATCATCCTATCCCCCAACACCCTCTCCCATGCCCTTTCTACCACCTCTCCCTTCATCTTTCCCGTCGCGGTCGTCACCACCCCATAATCTACTAGGCATCTCGAATTCGATCAGAATCGGTGAGATCAATAGTGCCGATGAACGCAATCCCACTCATACTGCAAACGATAACGTTAGCAGACCCCCTTTTTGTTCGAGCGATGCAGAAAAAGAGAGAATGGAAAGAAAACGAAAAGATCACAAAGCCAAGAGACACCCCAAGAAACAACAGGAGATACGACCACACACGACCGCAGTCAAAGGCCAGGCCAGGCCAGCCCATCCCAACCGAAATCAGATGGATCCATCCGACCAGAGAGAATGATACATGATTCCACAAGACAAAAGACCGACAGAGAAAGGCTACCCAAACCTTCGCACACCAAACTGTCACCAATCCAGACCCCCTCAACTTTTTCGAAGATCCTCCACCACCAGCGTCCCCATTCCCCCCATCCACTCCACCTGCCCTTCCCACCCCCTCTTCCTTCTGTACCACTCCCCGTTCCTTCCCACCCAAACCCCATGCTCTGAACCCGAACCAGAAACATAAGGAGACAAAACTTCAAAGAAAACGGAAAAACGTACCACTCTGCCATCATCATCCCCGGTGTAGACATTGTGCGGCATCGGCAATATACACGTGATTGGGGCCGAGACATTACCGCCGTCCTCGCGCGAGGGATCGGTGTGGTTGAGCAGTTTGAGGAGCGTGATTGTCCAGGCGCCGGTGCGGTCGGGGGCGAGGTGAAAGATCTGTTGTGGAAACAAAGGATGTTAGCTCAGATGGGCGACATGGAAAGCGTAAGTGAAGGCAGGGAAACAGAAGGGGAACTGTCAAACCTTTACAGTGCCGCGCCTATGCCCAGTGAAGATGAGTTCGCGCTCGCACCACTCATTCCCGACGCCTTCATAAACCGCAAGCGCGGTGATGCCATCGACATCCTCATCCCCAAGACATACTTCCTGGTCCATAAGCAACCTTCCATTGAGCGTGGTAACAATCAGCCTCGGCCCGCAGGCCAGAACGATATGTCCCGTGGAGTTATTAATACGGGCGGCCTGGACGGGAATGGGGTTGCTTCTCTGTGCAGGACCTAGATCGAGCTCACGGACGAACTCTAGACGATTAAGATCCCATAGGAAGACTTTTCCGTCGCTGGAAGCGGAGAGAAAAGCTGCAAGTGATACGGATGCAGCTAAAGTGACAACAGGGGTGCGGTGGCCGAAGAGCATCGTAGGGTTGTCTCGGCTGTGCAAGTCGATCGTGTGCTTGTCATTTCTAATGCCTTTCCACACTGCGACGGTGCAGTCGGTCCCCGCTGTTATGAGTGTAGAACCATCGACAAAGAGCGACGTTGCGAGTTGGCCGGAATGCAAGTGTTCGAACAAACCGAGCAACTTCTTCGAGCTGGCGTCGTAGAAGCGCACGGAACCGTCGGTAAAGCCCCACTCCATGTACCTGTCGTAATGAGGCGGGATGTTGTGGCGGAAAGGCCCCGAGCACAGGAGCTTCTCTTGCTTAGCGATGTACGCAAGGGACGAGACTCGGTCTCGACAGTCTAACAGAGTTCCTGGAACGCGAACTAATGCTTCAGCGGAAGTGTCTAGGCCTCTCACTTTACCAGCATTGATCTCTTTCTGCGGATGAGGGCGCTGGAACACCTGCAATGGTGTCTGGCCGAAGTTGTTGATGATGGATATATGTCTCTCACGTTCCACTTCGTCCAGTATGTCCAGGTCGACCGTGCCCTGGTAAGTCATGTGATGGAACACATTTGCAGCTTCGACAGCGGCGTCGCCGCGTTGCTTGTATCCGAAGATGAGGTCGATCCAACTATGAAGGTTCTGACTGACATATGGGCTTTCTAATGCTTCTCGCTGCTTCGCGATGAATATCGCCGGATCACCTTTCGCCCAAGGAGGCAGGATAACATTGTCGATGCCCTCGCCGCTCGCACGCAAGCCAAATTCGTAGCCATTCAGATTAGTGAGAAATTCTGGCAAGTAGAAGAACTCTGGAGTCAGCTCCCGGACATCTGCCATATTGGTCCTCGATGCGGAATTCCAAGCATCTGCTACTGAGTAAAACATGCGATCTGCGTGATCAAATTTGCCACCTTGTATCAGCGTAAAAGCCGCACAGAAGGGTTGCAACCGAATCAAATAGGAGGCGACGGTCGTTGCAGAAGAATAGTGGGTTCCATAATGGAAGGCTCTCTCCCCGACCTCTACAAGCTGCTTGTACCTCTCCCGAACCCTGGCCTCTCGTGCGGGATCCTGGCAGCCTATAGGTTTGCTTAAATCGCGAAAGGTTTTAGGGTTGCTGAGGTCCAGCTCTTCGCTTGTGTAATCGGCGATGACCCAAGGAAAGACGGGATATTGTGTAAGATCGTTGAAAGAGCGGCCGGCAAGCGTGTTGATCAGCATCAGGTAGTGGTAATTCGACATCTCACCCTTCAACCACTTCTTCGTGCCTGGATGCGTCGAACTTGAACCGAATGCAGAGGCAAACCGTGAGCCCAAGGTTTGCGGGGCCTCTTCCGGGTTATGTAGCGAGTCCATTCTCCAAGCTATCTCAGAAGTGGCCAGTAGTTCTGGCTTGGCCACATACGGTGCTTTACTGACGAGTTTAGAGTGTATGTCATTCCGTATGGCGCAGGAGATGGCAGTCAAGAGATAGCTTCGGCCATCATCGAAAAAAATCTCCATTGCCACATCTCGGTGCAGAAACCGTCGCTTGGAGATGCTGATGACTTCACTCCATTTCCAGCTACGTACGACGTCGCCCTCATCACGCGGCGCAGGGCGGCGATTGGTCACAGCCTTGTTGCCGGCGATGACCTGAACATAAGGGTCACGCTCGTCGCTAGGAGCTTGCCAGACCCGTACGATTTCGCCGTCCGATCTTTGGAAAAAGTCATCGAGAAGGTACAAGTATTCCTTTCCAATGATGAGGAGTCCCTCGACAGCTTCCAAACCAACGACCCTGGAGATGTTGCAGACAAACTGCACCTGCTCTCCACGATGGAGGCTTCGCATCACTTTCCGGTTTTTGTCTTCGAAACCGTCCTCGTCTTCATACATGGCGTCGACCATTTCGAAGTCTTCCCCGAGGTCTGAGTCCGGCGCATCTCCCTTCTCTGCCTTTTCTGCAGAGTTCATAGTTGATGACGGTCGCATATCCGTAGACTGGACTGAAGGCGGACCATTAGCGCCCTCATTTCCTGTACTGGTTGCGTCCAGCTTAAGTTTCGCAATTACAGCGGCAGGATCAGTATCCTTCCTCTTAGGCTGATACTTTCGAACACGCGTTATGTTGTCCACGATGATGCGCATGCGTTTGCGATCGCGACCTTCGGTTTCATCAAGACGCCACGTAGGTCTTGGGCTGGGCTCAAATAAAGCGCAAGGGCCGCGAAGCTGTTTATCGAGCCTGGCAATGACAGTGGATAGGTAGGTGATATTGTCTTGTTGGTCCTGCATGACGCGTTGATGTTTTATACGCTCGGAAGCGTGGATATTGGACCGCCAATGGTTAGTCGACTGCTCATGGCTCGCAATGATTCGCTCAGCGATCATGTCTTCACTGTGCCACTGTCTCAATCTCTCTTTCCGCTTCAGGGTCCGTTTTTGGGCCGTCTCTTCTGTTCTCTTGTTCTGCTCATGGGCAAAGTCTTCCCAAGTTTTACTCAGTGTACCGTAAAAGAATGAGTCTAGTTCCGATTTGTTCTCGTCGAACCACTGTAGAAATGTATTATCGTCCAACTCGACCAGTTTTTGAAAGCCAGCGCGGACGTCTTTCTTGTCGGACTGAAAGCCATGACTGAGAATGGCCGACGTGTCCTCCGGCTTCTGCACCAACAGCAGCCTCCAGAAATTCACGGCCGCTAAACGTACCGAGGGGACCCCCGCAGAAAGCTTCGTGTACAGGAGGTAGCAGATGAGCTTCAGGAAGTGTCCCTCGGCGTTCTCGGCAGATAAAATGATTGGTTGCCAGTAGACCATCTTCTCGATTATGCTCGCTGCATGAGGATAGCCGTCTGGCTCATCACTCTCAGCAAGGCGTAGAAGAATTACGCGTAGGAAAGTAGTTCGGATGATACCCACGGCTTGGCTGCAAAGCCGGACAGACTTCAGCCTCGACACTTCTGGCCGTTCCAAGTATTCCAGCAAGAATCCCGCGAAATCAAGTAACGGTTCAGCACCGTTGAGGAACCAGCCTTCGAAGATTGCTTCGGATAGGTGGGAGACGAAGCGGGCTAGATTTGTGAGCACCCGAGGTTCATGGAGCAGCTTCTGGTCCAGCTGCAGAGAGTTGGAGAGTGATGATAGAGTCTGGCGAAGGATGTACGATTCGAAATATGCTTGGTGCTCCTGAAAACCAGGCGGAGTTTTGAGGAACAAGCCGAGGCCCGCGAAGTCCTTACGGTTGAAGATCTGATCTTGGAAGACCCCTAACACGACCTCTAACGCAGCTTCTACGACTGTACTGCCCACCCTCACCGGGATCGGCCGCTCTTTGAGAGAAGAAGAAACCCGGGGATTGGACGCGACTTGAGGTATGGCATCTGCTGAGATGAGCACAAAGGAGGAAGCCCTGCGGAAAGGGGCAACTCGTGGTTGTGCGGCTGACGCAGATGGTGATAGGTTGACATTGGTAGTGCGGACAACGGGTGCTTGTTGCCCATTACTCTTTGAGAGGGGCTTGATAAACACATCCTGCCCCTCAAAGGTCAGGGCTGATCCCCTTGACAGGAGCTCTGTTTCGGCGCTGACGCTGTCCGAAGTAACAATCACTGGATACAAAACAAAGAGCAACTCTTGAACGTAGTTGGAGGATATCGAATACTCGCGGAAGATATCGCTCCTCGAGTGCAATTCGGACAAGAACTGTATGACGGAGTGGAGAACAGCAGCATAGTCATTTAGCCTATCCGATTGAGATGGTGGCACATCTGATAAGGGTCAATAGCAGTTGGCTGAGAAGGGGTCTTCTGTTACTCACCCACCGGAGACTGCTTCGCGTTGAGTGACATTGTTCTCCGTCGCCCACGAGTTACTGGAGCATCGCCCTTGCTGTCCCCGTGGGGCTCACTGGTTGGGTCTGCTCGATCACGAACAATGGCACGCAAGCCGGTGTCTAGCATAGCCACAATGACGGGAAATACCTCGGGATATACGATACGAAATCGAGAGTGGGACGGGCTAGAGATGAAGACATCAACTAGGTTGAAGGTGTCGAAGTCACGCTCGAAGTCAATAGTTGATACATCGCGCCCGAGAAAGATCGCAAAACAAATTGTCCAAATGCCGGGAATATTCCACCAATGCTTCAGTCGATGCTTCATAAGGACGAAACCCCCGCTCTTCTCAGCGAACTTGCGAACATAATGTGCGCCGTTGGCTACCAGAAGTCGAGCGAGGATCTTGGCGGCCAACACCACGACGCGTTGGTCCGGTTCCGCAAGGAGATATAGAAGCCACTATAGAAGATAAGTACTGGTACCACCTAGGCCTGCGGATGATCTTACCTTGCCAGTGACGTGCTTTGCGAAGCGGTGGATGTCGCTGGAATTTACGTCGTCGCACAATAGTTCACTCAACATGTTTAGAATGGCGACTCCCAGTTCTCCAAGTGGTAAAGCTGACGGTTGAGACTGGTACTGACCCGGACTTGTAGACCTGGGGGTAGAGCCAGCAGTTATGCTTGGCGACCTGCCCTTGCGAAGCCGCAGGGCGCTTGCTTTGGGTCGCAATGTGCGTTTTGCGTACGCTGCACGATTATCGTGCAGGGCATACGTGACGAACAATGACAGTGACCGCGCATTCTCTCCGTTGAAATTAATCTTGACGAGCACTTTGAAGGCTTCCAGGAAGAGAGGAAAGGTCTGCGGCGAAAAGCTCTCGCTGTTGAGAGTGTCGGCGAGTCTCTTGACCACTCCTGTATCTCACGTCAGTCATTACAGATGACACGTCAGTCTTCAGTGTGACATACTAATGCGGTGGAATCTTTTGGCATTATAGTGATGGAACTTGCTGCCTTTAGCAAAATGAACAAATTGACGGTAGTACAACTTTTGAGTCTCGAGCGAGGTTGATTGTCTCCAGATGTCCAGGTCCACAAGCAGCACCCTGTAGGCTAAAGGGCTGATGATCAGAGATTCCGTGGGTTGTCTTTCGTCGTAACCGACGAAGCGGAGGATCACGCGAAGCAGTTCCAGCGTGAATCCTTCATACTCCGTGGATGACAGGTCCATGTCGGGTAGACCGTTCATCCCAACTTTCTGGCGCAGCACTTCGGACAAGACGGCGAAACCGTTGTTTTGCTCGACAGCTTCGCAGTTGCGCCAGTTCCCTTGGACAGATTCCAGGAAGATTTCCACAGCCCGCAAAACTTGCTGCAACGTCTTTGCAGACTGCACCAGCTTAAAGCCAACTGCGGCGCAGCCCCCAAGCCGCCAAATAGCGTCATCCAGAGGCTGTGGAACCACGACCACAGGGGTGCCAGACAGCCTGCCAAACCCACGCGACTGTGATAGAGCATCGTTGACCGACGGTACGGCGGCATTGATGATGATAGGGGTCCCTTCGGTTCGGGTGAGGCGATGTAGTGCTTGCGCTGAAGGTTTGGAAAGCGAGTTGATCAACTGCGACTCGTCGATGGCATTCCGGTCGTCGTCATCCAAGACTGACGTTGGGGAGAAGCTGAGCAAGATCTTCGACTCAGGCACTAAATCGCTGGCATTTGACTGGAGTGCGACAATGAGTTCCGAGCGCTCTTCCTTGCCGGGATGGAGGATCTCGTTTCGCACGTGCAGTTCGGTCGAGGTGCGGTACGTTTGGAACGACCCCAGGCGGTCCTGGAAATTCCCATGGTACCGTGGGCCGAGCCTGCTATATACTGCAATCAATTCATCCGATAGCGGTTCGGACCATAGATGGAAGGAGGCTAGAGAGAGCTTGGATTGCAAGATGTTTCTGCCGAGGCGAGGGGACAAGTCCCTCGGCGTACCCAGAAACGCGAACAATTGGTGATGGCTCGAACCGCTCGAATTTAGCGAAGCAAAGCTTTCCTGACTCCCGTCCAGGACGGGCGGATGTGAGGGATAGTGGGCCTTCACGGTCTCTGTGAATTCGCCATCGATGTAGAGGGACGCTTTATGGGCACCTAGGCCAATTGGTTTTGCACGCCGATGAACGAGGGCGATATGATACCATTTGCCTTGCTCGAATCGTGGCGCCTTCTTAAAACGCACGCTAGGTGTCACGCCCGCGGCATGGCCCATATATGTCTGTAGGATGAAGCATCTAGTGTCTTTCTCAAGGTAAGCCATTAGAAAACAGGTATGTGTATCATCATAAGCGCCAAAGATGGTAGTGTGGCAATTGGGGTCATAATTGTCTACTCGCAACCACGTTGCAAATGAATAGCCACTCCCTGGGGAGATTGGTGGAAAGGGTCGGCCGATATCAGGCAACTCAACAGCACTGAATCCGTCAAGTGAAAGGTCGAATTGGATGAATGGAGGAGCACGTGAGGCTCGGATAGCGTGGAGGAGGAAGTCAGCAGCTGCGTCCAGCGAGGCCGCCTTGCGTACGATGGAATAGGCATCGTCGAGAGAGGTGATGCCGTAGTCGATTAGTACGCTCGCAATGTCGCGAAGAAGACGTGCCTCGGTGGGAGGGTAATTCCTCTCAAAAAGCAAGGGTAGAATGTTGCTTAATATGCCAGTGACATGCAATGCAGCCTTGTTGTAAGTCGACATTTGTACGATTTCGAGCATGGCGAGGAGGACGCAGAGGGAAAGCGTCCTGGGCGGAGTGCCCGATGCTTCGTCGTGCGGAAGTCCGCACCAAAAGTGCAATATGACAGGCACGATGTCCGGGTTCTGTAGCACCTCTGTGCCACTGAAGATGGTGCGCACATGACTTCGCAGCGCTTCGAGCATTGGTTGAGCCCCGTGATCCTGAGGGCTAGCCTGGCTGGCTTGGATCGTTTTGTCCATGTTCCTGAAGATGCGCGTCATGGCCTCGTCGCCCATGGCAAATGCGAAAAGGCAGCCGAACAATTGTCCCTGTGCGGCGTGGTCGAGCGTGCCATCGGTTTCCCAAGTGGAGACGCCCGTAGTAGCCAGAGCCTGTTGAAGAGCCATCCAGCCGCCGTTTTCGACACGCTTTGCAAAGAAGCGCTTGTTCCCTGCATGGCCGTCCAATGCATCCGAGAGCACGTCGAGGGAGGCTTTGATGACTTGGAAGAAATGTATGCTGTCGGCAGGAGGCAGGTCGGAGAGGGGATTGAAGCGGGCGAGGGAGCGGAGGCTCTGCAGCAACACGTCAAAGCCGCGCACATGACGGAAAGCGTCCTTTGTGTGAGTGTGCTCGTGGAAATCAATGAGCAGCTGGCGCATTCGACGGAGGGCAGCGCTTTGGGTCTGCAGGAGGGTGGGGCCGGGGGGAGAGTGGTGTGAGGGGTCGGAAGCCCGAGTGAGGTCGTCTGCCAGGCTGCGCAGTTCGGCAATCTGGTTGTTGATGGGCGGCATGCGCGAGGCGGCGGTCGAGGACCTATGGCGGCGGGCGACATTGGCCATGGCTGCGGTTGTACCTAGGTACCTAGGTATGGCGCTCGCCGGGGCCTAGCGGGTGTAGTAGTAGATGGGAGCGGCTGATGCGGGGGAGGACATGGAGGGGAGGGGAGGAGGGCGAGAAGTGACGGTCATGGCCTCGTCGTTCGATGTTTTTTTTTGGGGGGGGGGGGAGAAAGAGGGACCGTCTGCGGAAGAGGAGCGGGCTCCTCGCAGCGAGGCCTTTCACTGAAGGGACGGCGGCCCTGGTGAAGCAGGGTGAGGGAGGGGAGTCGAGGGTGGTTGAGAAGTTGGACGCCTGCAGGATTGGCAGGCGGGTGCCGTAGGTATTGTGTACTGTGTACCTACAAGTAGATGGAGCTTGGACCCATGATGTGAGAGGCATAGATTCATGTGAGGTGAGATGCTTGGCAGGGACGGGCGCAGCGACTGATGAGCGCTTGGGGACCTCGTAGAGGCACAGCACGTACGAACGAGTACATGGCACGATCACACGATTCCAGGGAGATGACTTCTGGTGGGGGAGGGACGACTTTTCTGACCCTCTTCTGCGGAATGCCCATTATTGGCCCATATACTGGTACATAGTATATCCCTACACAGTACTGTGTACTGCTATGTGGAGACAAGCACCAGCCATCACTCATCACAAAGCCATCAACCTACGACACAAAACCCCACATCACAGCCACACATCTGCCTCTCCTTCGGTCACCTTTTTGGTTTCACCAAGATATACGGAGTACTTAGTCATCTGTCCGACATCGTCTGCTGTAAGGAACTGGGCTGCGACCGAGGTAAAGCAGAATGGGAATCCGAAACAGGTCGCAGGGCGACGAGTACCCAGGTACAGATACGTCAGTACCGTGTACACAGTATGCCCATCTCCAAGGTTGGAAAGGCAACCTTGGACATTTGGAACATGCCCAGCTGCCCAAGGTGAAGCGGACGGCGAACCCGTGACGTGCGACATCCTGAAGCGGAATGGCGCAACAACTACGGTGGACTATTAGCAAGTATAGTGCCAAAATTCAATTCTAAGGTTGCGCGGTAAACCTGCAAACCTACGTCTAGGCAGTATAAGTTTCTAGCCTACTTACGTAGCAGATCTATATAAAATAGCAAGTATATAAGTAAATAAGTACAAGTAGAAGAGGTATAGGCGGGCAGGTGCAAGTATGCAGGTATAGGGAAGGAGGGGCAGGGAGATAAGTACAGGCAGAGAGGTACAGGCAGACAAGTACCCTATACTGCGTACTTGTACTGTATATTTATACTACGTACTTACTCTACGTACTTGCTCTACGTACTCACTGCGTATTTATACTGCGTACTTGCTCTACGTACTTGCTCTGCGTACTTGCTACGTATATATACTACGTCCTTGCTGCGTATATACGCGTACCACGTATATGCACTGCGTATATATACTGTACAAGTGCTTACGTTGCGTACTTGTACTGCGTACTTGCGCTGCGTACTTATACTGCAGACTTGTACTGCATAGGTAGGCTAGGAACTATGCTGCGTGTACGTAGGTTTGCAGGTTCGCTGCGCAATTGGATTTTGGCACTATACCTGTTAATAGTCCACCATAAACAACCCCAGCCTCGCCGCTCCTGCCTGGATTCGTGGTCAGCTGCGGCAAGCTTGGGCCCGGGGCGGTGCGGGCGGTTCATAGATAAGAGCTCCCCCGAGCGCCGAGTGGAGCTCCCTTCACCAACCCCATCCCCTCACCTCCTCCTCCTCCTCCTCCTCTTCTTCCTCCTCCTCTCCAAACCCCCATCGTTTCTCTTCCACTCTTCTTCCCCTTTATTCTTCCCCTGTCCGTCTGTATTCTGCACCCAACTTGCCCCCATCGCCGCCATCATGAGGTACGCTACCCTCGCTCTCTTGCCGCTGCTGGCTTCAGCGTCGCCCGTCGTCATCGACACCATCCACAAGGATGCCGCCCCCATCCTCTCCTCGGTCCACGCCCAAGAGGTGCCCAACTCGTACATGGTCGTCTTCAAGAAGCACGTCAAGCACACGGATGCCCACCACCACCACAGCTGGGTCCAGCAGATCCACTCCAAGAAGCAGGAGGAGCGCATGGAGCTGCGGAAGCGCTCCCAGCTCCCGCTGACCACCGACGACGTCTTTGACGGCCTCAAGCACACCTACAACATTGTCGGAAGCCTGCTGGGCTACTCGGGCCACTTCGACGACGAGACCATCGAGCAGATCCGGAGGCACCCTGATGTGAGTCACCCCCATCTGCCGTGCACGCATGGTCCCGTTGGCTGCCTCATGCCGCCATGCGTGATCGCACGTGATCGTTTCATCACCATCACCATCCCCGCTTATAGCCGCCTGCTCTTCACACCCTGTCCAAGCATAAGCTAACGGTGCTTGCCATAGGTGGATTACATTGAGAAGGACTCGATTGTCCATACCATGGAGAAGCCGGGCAAGGAGGAGCACGAGACGGAGAAGAACGCCCCCTGGGGTCTGGCTCGTATCTCGCATCGCGATTCATTGAGCTTCGGCACCTGGAACAAGTACCTCTACTCTGCCGATGGCGGTGAGGGTGTTGACGTCTACGTCATCGACACCGGAACCAACATCAAGCACGTCGACTTCGAGGGCCGTGCTCACTGGGGCAAGACCATCCCTCAGGGCGATGCTGACGAGGACGGCAACGGTCACGGCACCCACTGCTCGGGCACGGTGGCCGGCAAGAAGTACGGTGTAGCCAAGAAGGCCAACATCTACGCCGTCAAGGTCCTTCGGTCCAACGGCTCCGGCACCATGTCCGATGTCGTCAAGGGCGTCGAGTATGCCGTCCAGGCTCACAACGAGGCTCTCGAGGCCGCCAAGAAGGGTAAGAAGAAGGGCTGGAAGGGCAGCGCAGCCAACATGAGCTTGGGCGGTGGCAAGTCCACTACTCTCGATCTTGCCGTCAACGCCGCCGTCGAGGCTGGTATCCACTTTGCTGTCGCTGCCGGTAACGACAACGCCGACTCGTGCAACTACTCCCCTGCCGCTGCTGAGAATGCCGTCACCGTCGGTGCCTCTACTCTTCTCGATGAGCGTGCCTACTTCTCCAACTACGGAAAGTGCAACGACATCTTCGCCCCTGGTCTGAACATTCTCTCGACCTGGATCGGCTCCGAGCACGCCACCAACACCATCTCGGGAACGTCGATGGCCTCCCCCCACATCGCAGGCCTCCTGGCCTACTTCCTCTCCCTTCAGCCCGCAAAGGACTCGGCCTATGCCGTTGCTGACATCACCCCCAAGAAGCTCAAGGCCAACCTCATCTCCATTGGCACCGTCGGCGCTCTCAGCGATGTTCCTAGCAACACCAAGAACATCCTCGCCTGGAACGGCGGAGGCTCCTCCAACTACTCTGACATCATCAACAAGGGTGGCTACACCGTCAAGAAGGCCGAGAAGAAGGAGGATAGCATCACCGTCACCATTCCCTCCATCTCCGAGATCGAACAGGATATTGAGGCCGAGTTCGAAAAGGCCAAGCAAGCTGCTAGCCGCACTGGACACAGTCTTCACGGCAAGTTGGAGAAGCTCTCGGAGGAAATCGAGGACTTCGTTGCGGGCGAACTTGAGGGATTCTTCAAGGAATTCAAGGAGCGTGTAGCTCGCGAGTAAGCATCATGGTTGACCTGCTTTGGTTGTATTTCGGAGCTGTACGAGCATTGATATCCAGCCGTCTGCGGATGCTGGCATACTGAGCGACGGTGGGCGCACCGCCGCGCATACATTGGCACAAGGGGTACACAGACGGGATCTGAGATGGGGTTCATGTGGGCGCCGGATATGAGTTTGCATCATCGATTTCTCTTACTTTTGGGTCTTGGAAGATTTCTTTACATTTTTGTCTGGTTGCGTATACACAGCTCCGTAGGTAGCGGAACTTTGCTGAAACGGGGGAATGCAGGCAGTGTCAATATCACTCTTCCTCCACCAAAGCGCTACTTTGCTCTGATGTGATGCTGTACACCTCTTCCAGATCCGACGAAGCTTAACTACCTATTATCTATTGCCCTCTTTTAGACCTCTGACTGGCATGACCTCGCAGTTGCCAGATTTTGTCGTTGCAGGAATAATTGATGGGTGTCACATCCTGTTTACACGAAGGCCAATTGCAAACTTGCCTGACAATCTCTCGCACATGGTTACTTGCCATGCAGTCATCGAAGTTGTGTACAGAATTGGCTGGCGATCTGGCCTAGATGACGCAGAAGCATTCCTTCAGTATGGCACGTGGACGTTCATGGGCATCTTCCCCAGACGAAGTCATCGTGTCTCACACCGCATTGAGCGCAAGCAGATGCAAGAAGCGTCGTGGAAGTCTACTGGCAAACAAAGGAAAACCGTCAGGCCGAGGGACGCTGCCGACTGGGTGACCATGACCCCAGAGCCAATGGTCTTTGGGAAGTCGAGTTTACATTTCGCCGCAAAGGGTAAAGTTGGTGTTGTCCATCGCCATGTCCCAATGCGGCACAATAAATAGAGGTCAATTTGCTCAGCAGGTCCCTCGCGCTTTCACTCTCTCTCACGATGGTTGCCCACGCGCACATTGACGGTGTTTTTCTGGCCGCGAGCGGCCTTTCCGTCGTTTGCGTTGACCGCTCCGGGAAATTGCGATATGTACCACCCGTTTTCCCTCCTCACATTCCTTCTTCCTGACTCCTTGCATCTCTCCCACGACACTCAACCATACCAAGCTCACTCACCACACTGCTGTGTCTCTCCCCTGCTTACACTTTCACCCTACGGTAGGACCTTGCATACTCAGTAACCATGGCCATCTGGGCTCCGACTTCAAACCGCCCGCAGGGCTCCGGGCTTCAGCGGATTGAGGCGCCCGTCACCATGCGCGGCTACCTTCTCTGCGTCTTCGCTGCCTTTGGCGGCATCCTCTTTGGATTTGACTCCGGGTACATCTCTGGAGTTCTCGCTATGAAGTACTTCAAGCAGGAATTTGGACGTGAGTGACTGGTGGCCACTGCACCGCACCGTATCTCAGTGATACGACGTGCTATTATGAAGAATGCGAATGCTGACCCGGGTACCAGGTCCGTCTACCGACCCCACTGCCTACCACGGTCACATGTATACCACTGGCGAGAAGTCTCTCATCGTCTCCATTCTCTCTGCAGGGACTTTCTTCGGCGCTCTCCTCGCAGGAGTTCTTGCGGACTGGATCGGACGCCGCAGCACCATCATTGCAGGATGCGCCGTCTTCTGCGCCGGCGTCATTCTCCAGGTTGCTTCGACCACGGTCGCGCTTCTCGTCCCAGGCCGCCTGATTGCAGGCATTGGAGTTGGCTTCGTCTCTGCCACCATCATCCTCTACATGTCTGAAGTCGCACCCAAAGCCGTCCGCGGCGCCATTGTCTCCGGCTACCAATTCTTCATTACAGTTGGTCTCCTCCTTGCTGCCGTCGTCGATCAGGCCACGCAGAACCGCATGGACTCGGGCTCGTACCGCATCCCCATGGCCATCCAATTCCTCTGGGCTCTCGTCCTTGGCATCGGTCTCTTCCTACTACCGGAATCGCCCCGCTACCATGTCAAGAAGGGTCACCATGAAAGAGCTGCCACGGCATTGGCAACGCTGCGTGGTCAGGCCGTGGATTCGCAGTATATCAAGGATGAGCTTGCTGAACTCGTGGCCACGTACCAGCTCGAGGCGCGGATTGAGGGCGGCTGGCTCGACTGCTTCCGCGGCGGATGGAAGCCTTCCGGGAATCTGCGACGAGTGGTGCTCGGAATGGCGATGCAGATGATGCAGCAGTGGACGGGCGTGAACTTCATCTGTACATAACCCCTCCCTTGTTCTGCCGCCCCCCATGCTAACAACAAACGTCTCCAGTCTACTACGGCACCACCTTCTTCCAACAAGTCGGCCTCAAAAACCCCTTCGTCATCTCCATGATCACCACCGCCGTCAACGTAGGCAGCACACCCCTCTCCTTCTGGACCATCGAGAAGCTCGGCCGCCGCCCCTTACTCATCTACGGCGCCATTGGCATGGCTACATGCGAGTTCATCATCGCCGCCGTTGGCACTGCCGCCGAGGGCTCCCAGGCTGCATCCTACTGCCTCATCATCTTTACCTGTGTGTACATCTTCTTCTTCGCCAGTACGTGGGGGCCTGCTGCCTGGGTCGTCATCGGCGAGATTTTCCCGCTGCCGATTCGAGCAAAGGGCGTCGCCTTGAGTACGGCGAGTAACTGGCTCTGGAACTTTGTGATTGGGTATATCACGCCGTATATGGTTGACCCGGACGAGGGGAATCTGAGGAGCAGAGTGTTTTTCGTGTGGGGCGCGACGTGTGCTCTCTGTGTAGTTTTTGCATATCTACTGGTGCCGGAAACGAAGGGGTTGAGCTTGGAGCAAGTGGATCAGCTGCTGGAAGAGACGGTGCCGCGAAGGAGCGCTGCGTGGGTTCCTCATGAGGCTTTTGCGGTGGGCGAGGGGGAGGCTGCTCTTCATCGACGGGAAGGCGGGGTTGGTGGTGTGGCTCGAGCGAAGGAGGACGGTGAGGTGGATAGTGTGGGGAATGTGAGTGGTGGCGAAGGAGGTGCGGCGGGGTGGGAGCGCACCGAGGCGAGGGTAGAGAGTGTCTAGAGTCTAGAGGGAAGCTGTGGCTGCGGTTGCAAGAACATGAAGTGAAGGTTGCTGGGCACCGAGACGAAGACTGGTATACGGAAGAGGCTGAGTTCGGAGGGAGTGCGAGGTGGGAGCTTGGGTGGATCGAACTGCTTGTAATAACTCTTTGGGTCTTTTCTAGTTAACCCCTGAATATATACTACTATGCAAACTCGTATCGTGGTACATCTTGACGATGTCCCTGCCAATGGACGAGTTTCTGTGCACGCGTATCCGCTGAAACCGTGGTTTTGGTTCGAACGGGCAGGCAGATGAAGTAGTCGTCGACGACAAAGTTGACTCCCTTGCTCGCAACATTTTGGAATGCGCGGAATCATAAAGATGGCTGTCCGTTGAGGAAGGGAAAGGTGTGAGCGTGCGGATATATCGAGCTCCTCCGTTTGAACCCAGGTAGGATTGAACCGCTTGCGGAATCCAAGGAACCAACATAACATAACTCACAAATGCCCAGGAGACTTAAACTGCGTTTGTTGTATTCAGAACCTTTGGGCCTTCATGTGTTGTAGAGTCGTTTTCTCCGTTCATGAGTGAGCAATGAAAAAGGCAACTGAAGAGGAACGTATAACGCATGTCCAAAACCATAGAAACGTTGCATTGCAGGCCACTTCGACAACTGTAGTATATTTCAGAGTAGCTCACTGAGGCAGAGGTGTCAAATCAAAGATGCTCACACCAAAAACATGGAACCCGAACCCACGACTGCCTTCAGCTATCTTTCTCTACGCAGCGTGCTGCTAGCTCAGTTTGAGCCAAAGTGTACTACATCGCCCTAGACTTTCTTATGGGAAGAGGTGAGATGGCTGGTGAAATGCACTTCAGGAGTGACATAACACTATCCCAAACCCTACCGAATCTGTGCATTTCGAGCTCCTTATCCTTTTGAAATTGGCTTTGTGGGAATTTAACGGCAGATAACTTGGAAAACACTGTCCCACGGTTTGCCTAGCAAAAATCAAGGTTGGAAACATAGGCCCTGAGTGATTTTCCGCGATTCAGCCCTACGGACTTGGCGACATTCGTCTTCGGACCTTTTCACAGTAGTCTATGCGCTTCTGATTAATTCATTGCTCGTGTCTCATTACTGTTCTCCTCCCATTCGCTGTGTTGTGCTATGCAGGCTGTTCGTAGCACAGCCAGGAATCAGGTAGATTGACTGGCGTGCTGCGTAGAGTTCGTCACGGTGCGTGAACATCAGCACAGAGTACGAGTGTACGACCATGTTACAAGTGTTACTTCCTCGCAGCCAGACTAGACTATCTATTGTCCAAGTCCAACTGCAGCGGTGTCTCGTTGCAAGTACACTGCAAGTATGACGGTTATCACAGCCACAGCCATTCTATTAGTGCATCCTTTGCAAGTCGGAAGTCGAAGCGGACCCTCTATCCCAAACTCATCTTGTGTGCCCGTGTATCGCAGTTCCCTGTCACTCAATGACTTGGGGGCTGAATGTCCTCCGAACCTCGTCTCCGATCAGCCATTCAATCATATTTGAGTCCCTAGCTTGATGGGTAACACTAAGCTTACCATCATTACCTACAGTACCTTTGTCCTACTTACCTAGGTATCCGTCGATCGGAGCTGAGAGAGGTCGCAGAGTCCATTGTGCAGACACTGCATTTTGATTTCGCCTCTGCGCAACCTTATATACAACCATTGGCCGCACAGCAGAGTACGGGACGACCGGTATCCTAGCAGGTCAGCCAAATCACGAATACGGGATTGGCGGCATCTAGAATATCTGGGGTGTGCATAAGTACTGTACGTCCGAAGGGTCGGGGGTCTGATGAAACGGAAAACCCCCGATCGAGATACGCCGAATTACCTCGACGCGGGACGTGTGTTCCAAGTCGACGAAGAAGCACAGCAGTAGAGGTGCATTCGGCGATATAAAGAGAGATGTGTGGGTATTTGGGTTGTCTCCACTTGATTTTCTTGCATACCCGCATTCTTTTCCTTTCTACTCTTTTGTCTCCAGCTTCCAGTATACCCGTCGTACGACTTTTGTGCTAGTAGTGAAGCAGGCGATTCAGCAATTTCGCTAGCCTCATTTTGATTTTGCATCATTTTGTTTTCTCTAGAATAGATCACTGTACTTTCCCTTTTCTGTTTCTCTTCCCGAGGCCGTCTCGTTGATCACTTTCCGACTTCTTTCTTTCCGCCAAATCATCAATCTACCCAACCACTTGGAATAGATAGTCCCCTTCAACAAAATCGCCACTGTACCATGGCAGGCCTCCTCCTCGCGGCGCTGGGCGTGTGCCTCGGCCGCAGCATCGAAAAAGCATGGTACACGCTCGAAGACCGGCGAGACCGGCGCAAAGACGAGAAGCTCGAGAAGCTGGAGAGCGACAAGTTGGGCATGGCGATGGGACCTGGGAACGGCATGATGCCAGGAGTAGGCAGCAGGAGGAGGGATGTGGGGATGAGCGAGAAGGAGAAGAGGGAAAAGAGGGACAGGACGGCGAGTGTCTTCATGGTCTGTATTCCTCTCCTTTCCGTTCTTGTCTGTCTGTGTAGCATTCTAGCACATTGCCCATCTCCTACCGTGGTTGACCAATGGCCTACCCATACCCATCCCACTACACCCCACTGCTAACCCGTCCAACCAGGACCCCCTAGCGCCCAACCTATACGACCACTCAGCCCAACTCTCACCCACCTACGCCCGAGCCCGCCCACGCACCTCTCCCTCATCATCTTCTTCTCCTCCTCCCTCCCACCTCCGTCGCTCCCGCCTCAGCAACCTAAGACAACGACACAGCCTCCTCGTCCTGCCCTCCCGCTCCAGAAACAACAACAACAACCGCCACAGTTTTGCCGCGGGTGGTACTAGCAGCGGGATGGAAGCCGGGAAAAGAAGAAGCAGAAGCAAGAGAACGACGTGGCACGGCTGGGCGGCTTTGCACGCGCATGCACATGCGCATGGGGAAGGCGATGTGTTTGGGGATTACGTCGCTCTGATTGAGGAGGAGGGCGAGGAGGGAGGGGATGGGTATGACCATGAGCAAGAGGTAGAGCAGCACGACAGTAGTGAGAAAGTAGAGACGGAGAGAAGGCAGGAGGGGGCCAGGGATCGAGTGGCACTGCGACGGAGGAGCGTGGCTGTTCCAGCGAGGCGAGAATGGCGAAGCAGTTGCGAGACGTTGGTCGCTTGTGGCTGTCGTGTAGACCGTGGAGCGGGAGGGAGCAAGATTGGGGCTGCTCAGATATGATCTTGTCTATGAGGAAGAGGGAAGTGGGAAGAATATATATACGGGACGAGGCTCATCTTTTCCAACCCTTTAGCGATATTCACATGTAGGGGATGCCGGGTATACGTTGTGAAGGGAACAGCTCACTGGAAGTCTCTGGCCCCCGACGCAAAAGTGCGATGCTGGTATTCAGCTATCTTACCCATTTTTTTCTCTTCACGTTGAATAACAGCTTCTCCCGAACCTCGTAAACATTAGATCCCACCAACAGTCAACCAATCCAAGACATCTACAATCATGCGTCGAATCTGCGAACAACATGTTTCTTCCTGTACTCTCTCGTCCCCGCGGTCAATCACGCGTCGACGTGACAAAAACCCTCACACCCTTTGAATCCAGCCTCGGCACGGGAATGAAAAAGTCGTGGGCAACGCGTACATCGCTCTCGTCGGCCTCGAACAGCTCAAACTTGTAGCGGCGGAACATCATCCCCAGCGTGAGGTACAGCTCCACCCACGCCAGACTGCAATCCTCCAGTCAATCATCCGACATGAAATGTCGCGGGACAGGAAAACTCACTTGATGCCCAAACAGCTCCTGCTCCCCTTCCCAAAGCTGACCAAAAAGTGCTCCAGGGGGAGCCCATCGCTCGTCTTGGGGTCATTCAACCACCGCTCGGGGATATAGCTATAACTATCCGGGAAGATGTCTTCGTCGTGCGAAACCTCGGGAATAGTCATGGCCACAATCGTCTTGGGTGGGATGACCCATTGCTTGTACTGAAGCGGCTTGTCGTAGGTGCGCGGGTTGCGAGCCGACAGGCCATACGACAGGCGGACGGCCTCCTGGATGCAGGCCTTGAAGTAGGGCAGTGACTCGAGCTTGACGAGGTCGAGGTCGGCGCGGTTGGGGAAGGCGGCGACGAGGTCCTTGTGCAGCCGCTCGTAGATGCGCGGATTGTTGATGATGTGAAAGCAGGCAATGGTAAGAGCAAAGGCGGTTGTCTCGACCCCACCTCCAACGACGACTTGGGCTTCATCGGCCAGGCGTTGATGGGTCTTGTCTTCAGGGGGCAGTTTGCTGTCGAGGATTTCTTGGAAAATGGTCCGTTGCGCGTCATTTGTCTTGATATCCTCGCCTTTTAGAGTGCGCCCAATCAGAGCCCATTGGTCCTGGAGGGGTTAGCATTGCCAGTGGCATAGATATCGAGCCGGACTAGCAATCATCACTGACCCGTTTGAACTGCAGCAAGGGCTTGGCGGCCGGTTGGATCCACTCGGTGATGAAGTCTGGAATTGAGTTCATGATCTAAAACCAGGAAATTAGCCCCTGTTGTGGTTTTTGAGCTTCAGTCGACCTACCGGGAAGATGGAAGGGAACTGGGTGGCAATATGGCCTGTAGCGCCAATCTTCATGAACGCGTCATGAAAGGAAGCAAACTCGGGATGCTCGAGCTGCCCATAGTTGAAGCCGAAGAAGTAGTCCATGATGATGTCGCCGGTGAGGGCGGGAAATGCCAGAGACAGATTCAAGGGCTCCTTGCGGGCCTCGAATTCCTGCATGCGAGCCGAAAGGGTTTCGACGTGGCGGTAGATGATGTGGATGAAGCTCAAAATGGAGCGGCGGGAGAACCTGCATCGTCAGTCAGACAACACGCTATGCTCGTAAAGAAGGAGTCGGCCACTGACATGGGATTGATGGCGGCACGTCTGCGCTTGTGGTGGTCGGCCTTGACGGTGGCGATGAGGCCATGGGGACTGCCGAAGCGCTTGTCCCATCCCTCCTTGTCGAGCCTCTGGTTCTTTGCATAGAACTGGTCGAAGAATCGGCTGTCTCTGATATGGAGCTCATGGGGGGTGACGCGGATGATGGGTCCTTGTTAAGGCAGATCGCTTTCAGCGGCGAGGGACACAAACGGGGAATTGGTGGTCGTGTGTAGCACCGAAAGAGGGTGGGACATACCATATTTGTCATGCAGGTCAGTGATTTTGCGCGAGTACTGGCCTTTGAGGACAATCTCGTAGTAGGCCTCATACCACGAAGTGAGGGCAGCGAGCTTAGGACCGGGGAATTTGGCCAGCGGGTGCAGGTAGAGACGGTAGACGGCCAGAGCGAGCAAATACGAGAGTGCAACGGCGCAGGCGACGGTGACGGGTGAGAGGGTCAGGGGGAGCCCACTCAGAGCAGCGGTGAGGTGGTCGGAGACCGGCAGCATGGTTCTTGAAGTCGTCTGAACCAACCCAGCACACAGCAGTCCCAGTCAGTTGGCGGGTGGGAGCAGCAGTGGTTTTGTCGAACAGCAGCGGCTCCCATGTCCCCCTAGGCCCAGGCTATCCGTTGCCGTGAAGGGGTTCATGAGGTATTATTGGCACGACGTGGCTGGCAAGCGTCCGAAGCGTCCGAAACACGCGCTGCACGAGGGGCCAGGGCTCGCAGGTGTTGATCCGTGGGAGCAGGCATTTTCATCCAGCCGAACTGGCAACCATGCCGGGTTGGTCGCGGATGTCATGGCGGTGGTGCAGGTGGTGGTGATCCTGGTGGGGTGGTGATGGTGGTGTGGCTTGCTGGTGGATCGGGGAAAAGTGCCTGAAAGCGAGGCGCACGGCGTGTTAGGGCCTGTTTGGTCTGTCAATTAAAGGCGTACGCGTACAGAACTTGTAATGGAGGTTTTGTGACGCGCCGGAAGAGGTGTAGTGGCAGAGGGATAATAGCCCATTGGTGAGACACGGTAAAGGACGAGATAAGCGAATAATAGGGACGTTATACCTCGTAAGGCAGGAGGCAGGGGCTTAGATGCTGGCCAAGTAAAACTTCAAATACCTACCGGTAGATGCGTAGGTAGGATCTAACTCAATCGATGCTGGGTAACTGGCCACTCTGGCTATTACTTGTACAGAGAGAAGCACTTTGAGTATTGTTGAAGTACTCTGTAATACTGCCAAGGGACTAGATACTAGTAAATATTTCGTCCGAGCTTGAAGCGATGGTTAATAATCAACCGAGCAGAACAGCCCCTGGCGGCTCGTGGTTCGTCGCGCGTGGCGCGTCCAAACGGGGCCTAGCGCGCCTTCCCGCCGGCGGGCGAGTCGCGGGTGCCTCCGCGGCGAATCCCCACCAGCCAAACCAGCCAAACCAGGCCAACCAGCCAACCAACCAACCAGCCGCGTCGGGGAGGACCTCTCCTCTTTCGTTAGACCAGACATGATTATAATCATGCTTCTCGACCCTTGCAACCTCCTCCACCTTGCCCTCTCCGGATCTTGCTGCAGCTGCACTACTCGTAACTCCTGGCATGCTCTGCTCATCTTCATCCATTCTCATTTCGTGACCCACGTCGCTCTTTCGCTTTCGTTTCTTCACCTTCACCCTCGCTTCCTCCCTCCCTCCCTCCCTCCCTCTCTTCACCTTCACCGTCACCTTCACCTTCACCATTGGTGCCTGTCTGTATATAACCTCTTCCGTTTCCCGCCCTTCCCCCCCTCGGCCCTGAATCCCATCTCCCACCAGATCGCCCTCTCGCGCCCATCCCCCACCCTCCACCACCACCATGTCGACCGCCGCTGGTCCTGCTAGCGAAACCACCACTCCTCTAGCCGCGGCTTCGGCTGCTTCAGGCTCCGCTGTTGCTGCCACGACGGCGACGACGACGACACCGACTACAGCTGCTGCTGCTGCTCCTGCTGCTCCTGCGGCGCAACAAGACGAAGCTGCAGCCCCACCCGAGGCACAGCACGCGGAGCACCCACAGCCCGCCCAGCTTTCTGCCGACAACCTGCAGCAGCACCATCAACAAGATGCCGACCACCACCAGCAGCTCGTGCCCGACCCCAACACCGAGTCCGACACCGACAGCGCCTTCGACAGCGCCTCCAATGCCAGCACCTCGATAGCTTCGTCCGTCCTCAACTACGAGTACGCCAATGGTCGTCGCTACCACGGCTACCGCAGCGGTGCCTACATCCTCCCCAACGACGAGACCGAGCAGGACCGCCTCGACCTGCTCCACCACATCTTCCTGCTCGCCCTAGGAGGCCAGCTCTTCGTCGCCCCCCTCCAGCCCGAGCGCATCCACCGCGTCCTCGACGTCGGCACCGGAACCGGCATCTGGGCCCTCGACTTTGGCGACTGGTACCCGGGCTCCGAGGTCATTGGCACCGACCTCTCCCCCATCCAACCCCACGCCGTCGCCCCCAACGTGCGCTTCTACATCGACGACGCAGAGTCCGACTGGGTCTATGCGCCCCACGAGCGGTTCGACTTCATCCACCTGCGCGGCATGGCCGGCGCCATCCGCGACTGGGACCGCCTCGTGCGCCAGTGCTACGACAACATGCAGCCCGGCGGATGGGCCGAGTTCCAGGAGCCCGATGCCTGGTTCTATAGCGACGACGACTCCATGGAGCGCGCTACAAACATGATGCAGTGGCAGATTCTGTGCAACGAGGCCGCCGACAAGTTCGGCAAGCCCATTCGCGTCGGCCACTTCTTGAAGGAGAAGCTCGAGAATGCCGGCTTCGTCGACGTCCAGGAGAGGATCATTCATGTGAGTATTACATTCTTTTCCTTCTTTCCCCTGCCCCCCTTGCCCCCTGCCGCACGCATGCACGGAAAATGCGCGAATCGGCAAGCAAGTGACTCACCGTTCCTCGTAAAACCCATAGATCCCCCTCGGTGCATGGCCCAAGGACCCGAAAATGAAGGAGATTGGCCGCTTCCAGCGTGAGCACGTCTCGCTCGGCGTCGAGCCCTACACGTACGGCTTCATCGGCAAGGTCCTCGGCTGGACCGCCGACGAGTGCAAGGTCATGACGGCAAAGGTCGTCAACGAGGTGAGGGACCGAAGCCTGCGCGTCTATGTCAAGTTCTACTTTGTCTGCGGCCGCAAGCCCGAGAGCGCCGTGCATTGAACACCTCCGACGGATACCAGTTTTCGAGTAGCATATACGGCTCGTATTTTCGCTTCACTTCACTTCATCACGAGCATGTCTGGTCCGGGGGGGAGGTTTGTGTCTTTGCGTTGGCTGCGGGAAAAGCTCACAACGTAGCATGTGTGAGAGGGGAGGGCGTTGAAAACGTACATGGCATGACGGCGTAATTCTTTTCTGTACGTTGTTTTTCTCTGCTTCCATCCATGGGATACAGTTATATTCCCGCACCGATCCATGAACTCTCTCGGGCCGCTGGAGGAGGAGGAGGATGAGGAGATGGAATTGTACATGATGCATGCCCAGCCAACAGTGTGGATTGTGTATTGAACAAGTGATAGGTGCCGGCTATCAGGAAGTATGTGAGCCGTTTGGTGGATTTCGTCACACCTCGCTGCCGCGTCTCTCAAAATTGGAAGCCCCTTCGTGTTGTTCAACCAGGCATGGAATGACCCATTGTACGGGTGGAAGATGAGAAGGAGATGAAAGAGAGGCGAAGCCAAGGGATGACGGAGGAGAAAGGGACCTAAGGGAAGAGGGCACGCACTCGCTCCTTCCGAACTGGGCAACTGCTCGTTCCTCCCCTCCTTGATATCTTGCCACCCATTCATTCTACTTCCATTACTTCTCGCAACCCCTGCATGTCGTTCCCTTCCCCTAACCCAGCCCAATAGGCACACCCCCATCCCCATCTCCACCCCGGGTAACGAACCCCAGGAGGAAATACAGTTGGGCCTCTCGTGCTTCACCGACAGTATCATCGTGCCCGGTATCCATCTTCGGCTGTTGCTGGCCCTGGTGGCCGATGCGGGTATCTTGACTGTCCGCCTCGATAAGAGTGTTTATAACAGTGGAACGGCCGGCGTTGGGTTGGCGTGGAAAGGATGGTGGTGTGCCAATTGTACGTGGAGGACTGAGACGTCGACGTTGATGATGATGATGATGATGATGATGATGATGGGGTTCCATGATGGCTTGAATGATAAAGGACCTTTGGACCTGGCGGGTAGGCTGTGTAGGTAGGTAGGTAGGTAGGTAGGTAGGTAGGTAGGTAGGTAGGTAGGTAGGTAGGTAGGTAGGTAGGTAGGTAGGTAGGTAGGTAGGTAGGTAGACTGGATCCTCCCATGTCCTAGACGATTCAAGGTATATACATGCCATGCAAATTCCCCCTGAAAACGACTCAGACGTCATGTTTCCGGCGTCAACCCAGCCAGCAGTCCCGCATTCGTTCGTCGAGGCACGCAATGGTCCCATAGCACGCCATCCCTAACCGCAGTCTCACACCGCATTCTTCTCCTCCCTCCCCCCAATCATTACAGCCCTCGAATCTTCATTTGGCAACACAACCAAGGATGCAGCTTCAAACCATGCACAGTACAGCAAGCATCAAGAGGACGGACATGGCTTTCAGCTCACACACGGAAGAAACCCGTCTTATCTACCAAATTCCCATCCCTCGTAATGTTAGCCCCAAAATACATCCCATGTTGAATTGCCCGAGCTCCACGCTTTAGGAAAACCCAGGTACACCATTATATAACCGACGAGGAAGGGTATCGAGGCGTAGAATCAACAGCAAACCAGAAAGAAAAGAATACCGTACAAGCAAGGAGAAAATGAATCCCTTTTCCCAAAATCCATACCTCCAAGCACCTGTTGCCAAGTCCAACCCTGACACCAATCGCTGAAGTGAAAGCTTGAGAAACCCAGAGCCATGCGCACAGTTACCTTTGTCTAGCCAGAAGAGAAACCCCGCGACCCTTTTTACCTTCCAATTGGAACCGTTACTGGATGAAAGTGAAATCAGAAATAGTCGAACGGAGCTATACTCCCCCGAGATCATACAACATGTTACGACGGGCCGCCCTCCCTTTCCGACTCGTCAAAGAAGCAATGCATTCGAATCGTCCCGTCTTCGCTCCCACTAATCAGCCGGCAATCGCTCAATCCTATACACGTCACAGGACCCGTGTGCCCGGTGAGGGTGCGTTCATGTTTTCCCGTCCTTGGGTCCCAAATCTTCACCGTCTTGTCCTCGGCGCCAGAGACCAGACGGAGTGTGTCGGCAGCGAGGCACCACACCCCCTCCACGTGGCCGAAGAAGCGATGGATGCAGCGCCCGCTGGGGACATGCCACAGCCGAATGGTTCCATCCAGCGAACCCGTCAACATATATGAAGGGGGTTTCGGCCGATCCGGGTCGTGAGGGAAGAAAGGCTCTTCCAGCGCTTCAGGAGTCGAGGTACGCGCCCGCCTTTCCGAGGCCAACGACGCAGTGTCCGAAGCGTCATTATTCGCAAGCGCCACAAAGTCTTCCTCGTCGATCTCAAAGTCGGCCGGCAGGGGGAGGACTTGCTGCACCTGTCCCACGTGACCTTCAAACGTCTTGATACATGCCTTGGTATCCAGATCCCAAAGCTTGACTGTGCAGTCGTCCGAGGCGGAGAAGAGGGTGCGGGACGGGAGGTCAATCTTGACCGAGTTGACCCAGTCGCTGTGCCCATGCAGCACGAAACGCTTGTACGTGTTGAAGTCATGAACCACGATGGTGCTATCCGAAGACCCGGATGCCAGAAGTTTATCTGCCATGTGTATGCCGATAACGCCTCGGGAGTGGGCCTCGAACGTATTGATACACTGTCCGGTCCTCCAGTTCCACACCTTGATGGTGTGGTCCAGACTGCCCGTGATGAGGCGAGCATCATCAAAATGCAGGCAACGGATCCCCTGCGTATGCCCGGTGAGCGTCCGGATCACTTCTCCCGTCTCCAGGTCCCAGATCTTGACGGTTGCATCGTACGAGCCCGTCATGAGCACACGATCATCGAATTGGAGGCACATGACTCCATTCGTATGGCCTTTGAGGATCTTGGTAGAATAGCGACCGTACTTCCAGTTGGTGCCAACCTTGAAACGGTCCTTGTAAACATCCTTCCAAGGCCGCTTTTTCGGCTGGTCGAGATAGGATGGTTGCTCGTCGGACTTCTGCTTGCTGCAACTGCGTTTGGCTGATGGCTCGGGCGGGGATGGCTCATCAGGACGGGTTCTTTTAGTGCCTGCCGGTCTGTCCGGAAGGCTAGAGTCCGTGTTGGCATCGGCGGCCCCTTCTGGAGCAGGCGTGATATCCGGCGACCGGTCTATGAGGCCTTGACCCGAGGCCCGCAGCTGCATCCGTTTCTTCTCATTGTGAAGTCTGCGCTGATCGAGGAGAGGGAGTCCCCAGCCACACTTTGTGCACTTCCGGTCAATGTGCTGCTCGCACATTCGGTGCCACACGACGTCATCGTCGGCGAGCTGTCGCCATCGTCGGCTCACTTGGGCGGCCTTGCAGAGAGAGGTGGTATCCAGATAGCAGAGGATCTTGAAGCCTAGTTCTGTCGGCAGGGCGGACAGAAAGTCGATCTTGATGAGGTTGCGGACAGTCGATGAGATGAAGGAGAGCTGCGGGAAGCAACACTGTGCTAATATGCCCTGGAGCATAAGGTTGCGGTGTTTGGAGGGTGCGGCTGAGAAGAGCGACCACACATTGGCGATGCTCTGCTGATCTTCTTGCGACTCACGCCCAAGTTCCTATCCTTGTTAGCAAACTGTCGGGCAAGGGGGAAAGCGAAGACGACATACCACCTGCAGCTGCTCCATAGTCGGCCCATCGGCCTGCCTCCTGCACAGGAGATCTGGTCTGTGGCGGTAACAAAACTTTGTGTTTGCGTCGACGGATCGCGGGAGGTGCGTCTCGGCTCCCAAGGGGTTGTATTGTTGAGGGATGTGCTGAGCGAGGTACGGAGTGATCATCTTGTTCCGCTTTTCAGAGGCGTTTTTATTCACAAAGGGCTCGTCGTGGCCAGCGCTGTCGGCGGGATCGTGACGGGAGCGGGCTAGAGGGCCCTCATGGTCGTGACCTCGAAGCAGGGCGGTGTGAGGATTTAAGGTGGTGATGGTCGTCATCTCAGCAGAAGAGGGCAGAGGATCAATGTGCCAGGACGGGTTGCGGCGCACGGGAGTGGGCGGGTCTGCGAAGGGGGTTGTTGCGCCAGAATCCAAGGGAAGTGTGCGGTCTGACGCCATCTTAGAGGTCGGCAGCGGAGCGAGCACGCAAGACGTTGACTTTAGGTGGAGCAGAGTCCGGGAGTGGCGGTTGAGCAAGGGCTACATGGAACCTGCGCATCCGGGTGTCGAGCTCGCAGGCCGGGATGGCGTGCTGGTGTTGCGTGCTTTCGGCGAGATTCCGAGCTGGGAGAGACGGGTGTAAAACCTCGGACGGCAGAGGAGCTGTACAGTATAACAGTGAGACGCGGATTCGAGAAGAGCTGACAGCGGAGAGTCTTTCTCTGTAGCGGTTGGTAGACGTTGGGAAAACTCTGAAGCGTGAAATGGTGTGGTCTGATGAGTCGGAGGTGGAGGTGGAGTTGGTGTGGCCAGCAGCTTGTGCAAAAGCACGCAATCGCGGGACTGTTCCCTCATCTCACCGCCTCTACTTTGGGACTAGCGTACCTTCCCCAGATCCAACCCCTGCTCGGGCACTTACCGACGCGATTCATGCGACTCGACTCCAGGCAAGCAGACTGACGTCTTGCGACAGCTCCAGCTGGACGACCATCACCCATCAAGCTTCTTCAACCCTCGATCGGGAGATGACAGGTGGATGATGGCCTCGCCCGACTCCCCCGCTGCGTCTGTTAGCAGCCGCAGCTCCTCCCGCGCCTCGGACCACGGCCGTCCACTATCCCTCGAGGAACTCGTCGAGCACTTCGTCGCCGCAAAGCGTTCCCTGAACTCCCAGACGCACCTCTGGCATGCCAACCAGCTCGTCACCGCGGCCCGTCAACTCACCGAGGAAAATGCCATCGTTGCCGCCAAGACCTCCGCCATCAGGAACATGGTCGATGAAGAGGTGGACAAGCTGGAAGCCGTCCGTCGCGGCATACACCTCCTCGAGGCCGACACTCAACGAGAATACAAGGTGTGATTAGAACCAAGCCCTACTCCTTACACTTCCTCTCTGACGGGCCCAAGACCATTTTGCACAACCTCGATGTAGCCCGGTCCGGACTGGAGTCTACTTTCAAAGTCCTGCAGGAAACTCCCTTGGAAGCCGCCCTTCAACCTCCCGGCACCCCACAGAAGTACCTCTACGATACCATCGAAACCGCCGGAGTCACCCATCTCCACGACAAACTGCGAGCGTGTATCGACCGCTGGAATGCCGGCACGGCGAGCGTCAGAGAAACCGAGGACGCGTTCAATACAGCCTTGAACAATCTCCAATCCTCCATTGACAGCGTGCCGAGCACTCCCACCAGGGACTACTCGCCCGGCCGGATACCGACCCTATACTACGAATTGGAGGAGCATGCGAGAGAGGTGGCACAGCAATTCCAGATGCTAGTGCGGCACTATGATCTCTGCGTCACTGCGCTCCGGGCCACCGAAGGGGGTGCAGATGCGGCAACCGAGGCCGTCGGCGACGCACCGCAGCCTTCTGGCCAGGATACTTCTGGGCCCCCTGTTCCGTTGAGCGAGGAAGAGCGCCTGAAGGTCCTTACCATAGTGAAACAGGATGCTTCAGAAGTGGAGGATGTCGTGGCAGACATCCGTGGTCTCGTAACGGAAATGAGTGCATTGCAGGAACAAATCGAAACCCACATTAACCATCAGCGCCGGGAGGACGCTGCGCTGGGCGGAGTGCTGCGGATGATGGCGCGCGTGGCGGCAGAGGCGAGGTCGCACGTTGAAAGAGCTCGGTCATTTCAGACTGCATGGCTGGAGGACATTCGACCTACGCTGCTCGAAGGCATCGACGAATGGGAGGAGCAGCGAGAGTTCTTCGAAAATTTCGATCTCGCCTACGCAGAACTGCTGGTCGAAGTGGCATCGCGGCGACGACGGTACGAGAAGATCAAGCGCAAAGCAGAGGAGGCGCAGAGAGAGTTGGACAAGCTGTATGCTGAAGAGGAGCGCGCACGCGAGCAGTTTATGCGAGTCCAAGGCAGGTTCCTCCCTCGCGATATATGGCCAGGCCTGCACCATCCGCCGCGAAAATACGAAGTACGCCCTGTGGATCGTGTGGGCGATGAGCAGGAGCCCCAAAAGTCAACGGAAATCATCCCTCAACTCGCCAGGAACGTCGTGGAGCGCGCGTTGACCAGAGTCAAGAGGCGGATGTGAGCAATAGCTGTAGGTGTTGTCTATGACGCAAGCCGAAGATTGAGAGTGCCCCGCCTTCCCGTTCAGCACGCTCAGCAGCCCCGCTTTTTCTTCTGCCGAATAATTATTTCGGCATCACACCTTGTGTGATGTGGCACACATCTGCCCGTACCTCCACTTCGCATGCCTCTCTCCCCTTTCTCTACATTCTGAGTTCAGCTCACTTTAGATCCCACTTGCTCACGCCTCTGTTGATCTTCGACATCTCTGCATCCCACATCCGCCAATCGCGTCATGGCATCAGACGCGGGACCTAGCGAAATTGAGCCGCACCTCGCTCCGCCTGCGAGGGGAGAAGAGGAGGAAGAGTCTGATTATGCTGACATATTCGACGAGGAAGATGACGACGACATCGCACCCTCACTCGTCGCCGCCAATCCGCACGACTATACAAAGGCGTACAACCGTCAGCAAAAGCTCAACGACCCTTCCATACCCGCCTCCGAGAAACCCAAATCCAACCCCCAGAAACCGAGCGCAAATACTCGTGCCTATATTGACGACCAGATTGCCAGTCTGTCCAAGCATGTAGGGAAGATAAAGCTGGATGCCCGGATGGCGGGTGTGGGTGGTGGCGCGGCCAGGGATAAGGATAAAAGTGATAGAGCGACGAGTGAGCAGGTGTTGGATCCGCGGACGAGGATGATCCTGCTACAGCTCATCAACCGGAACATCGTATCTGAGATTCACGGTGTGATATCCACAGGAAAGGAGGCAAATGTCTACCATGCCATTACTATTCCTGATGACAGCGAGGATGCGGTGCATCTACATCGTGCGATTAAGGTGTATAAGACGGCCATTTTGGTCTTCAAAGATCGCGATAAGTACGTCACGGGCGAATTCCGCTTTAGGCAGGGGTACAACAAGAGCAATAATCGTGCCATGGTGAAGGTGTGGGCAGAGAAAGAGATGCGAAATCTGAAGAGGCTGTACGCGGCAGGTATTCCCTCGCCGCAACCCCTCTACCTCCGTCTCCACGTACTCGTCATGGAGTTTTTAGGTGACAAGAAGGGCTGGCCTGCGCCTAGGCTAAAGGACGTGGTCTTCGAGGGTCTTGGGCCAGAGGAACTGGAGCAGAAATGGAGGGCTCTGTACGTGCAGTTGCTGGGCTACATGCGCATCATGTATCAAGTCTGTCGTCTTGTGCACGCCGATCTCAGCGAGTACAACCTATTATATCACCTCGGCAAGCTGTACATGATCGATGTGTCACAGTCCGTCGAACACGACCATCCCGCTAGCTTGGAGTTTCTGCGCAAAGATGTCAAGAATGTCTCTGATTTCTTCCGCTCCAGGAACGTGGATGTTTTGAGCGAGAGGAAGGTGTTCATGTTCATCACGGTGCCCGAGGGGAGCATCGAGATGGACGACATGGAGAAGGCCATAGACGAGATGTTTAAGGCGAGGGAAGGGCTGAGCGAGGAGGATAAGCGGAAGGAAGAGGTAGACGATGAGGTGTTCAGGGAGCAGTATATCCCGCAGACGTTGGAGCAGGTGTATGATATCGAGCGAGATGCTGAGCTGGTGGGTGAAGGAAAGGGCGAAGGACTGATTTATCAAGGCTTGCTGGCGGATAAGATTGTTGGTCAGAAGGGTGCAGAGGGAGAGGACGAAGAAGCATCGACTGATGCTGAAGAGGAGGACGAAGACGAGGGTGATGAGGAAGGCGATGAGAGCAGATTTGACAAAGGGCCGTCGAGAGGAAAGCGGAACATGGATAAGGATGCGAAGAGGGAGCATAAAAAGGCAGTGAAGGAGGAAAAGCGCGAGAAGAGGAAGGACAAGATGCCCAAGCATCTGAAGAAGAAACTTGTGAGCCAGAGCTCCAGGAAGAAGTAGGAGATTGCTAGCGATCACCTGCTCTCTGTAATGATCGGAATGCGTCGACTGCAAGATTTATCTGGACCAGTGATTACGATCATTTTTGGAATTCATTGAAGTGGTATGACCAATGGCGAGCGACGGGGTTGGCATAAACACACTGTGCATGGAGCGACTCGCTTATGTACGGCAACGTCTCCAATATCCATCACGTAGATATTTAGTCTGCCCCTTTCGCTGTGCCGCAGTCGAACACATATCCAGCCGCCCATCTCCTGGAAGTTCCACCCTCCATACAGTAAGCCAAGCAATATCAGACAGGATCAAATTGCTGTTCCGCACCGAAAACCAATCTCCTCGATCGAAGATAGCACCATGTCTGCCAAGTGGCCAGAGACCGACTTGAGCTGGTACCCGCCCAGGTGGAACGCAGCCGACATTCCACCTCATCTGGTCATGTCTGAACCGGCCCCAGAACGGCGGCCACCATCACGCCCACAGCCGAACGAGATCTTCAAAAGGCTAAAGTGGTCTGTTCTAGATCCTCCATCGGATGTGCAGGTCTTCGGAAGGGATGATGAAGGAGTGTTGCAATAGCGACCACTTTCCGATGAGTCTAATAAGTCGCTGCTTGATGCATCTGCAATGAATCCTCCACTATCACGCCTAGAGGTATCAATCGAACCATTGCATAGCTGGTGGCACTGGCACGACTCGGGAACTGACCCTCTACGGCCCGCACAGTTGTTCATTGAGAATGCGGATGGAGAACCCATCTCTGTCGGTCAATTCATTCGTGCCGTTCACGCTTATGCACTTCCCCTGCGCAAGCTTCTTCTGCGATGTACGGACATAAGAGACCCTTCAAATCAAGACCGTGCACGGTTCTTCTTCGAAAGGATAATGGGAGGATCCGAAGGAGAAAAATTACCTGGACAACGAGGGTATGGGTTTATTGTTGTAGAGGACCCTACGGGGGATGGAGAGGCATGTTCAGACCTCTGGGAAGATATCGAGACTCGGGTCAAGAATCAGTCTGCCTCGCAATAATGAACACATCGTGTGAAAGTACTATGATATCAATGCGGCGTCGGAGATTTGGTCAATACACCGCTGGCGCCAACGCTGGATCCGGAGAGTTGTCTGAAGGATACGGTGACATATGAGTGGTGTGTTGCTGCTGCTACTGCTACAGGAGCTGTGGCTGATATAGTAAGATAGTGAGGATGCATGTAGACATGCGAGAACAGGAAGTTGCCCTAATCGACGGCGCATTGCACCTTATTACTCAGTCATTCACATCCCCATGTTTCCTCCCCCAAAACCCATCCCCTCATAGCTCTCAGTGCCCCAAATCCCCATATCCAGGAAAGCATCCATGTCAATATCCATATCCCGCATGAACGCAAAAGGGTCCCCTCCCATATCACCCATCGGCATACCTCCCGCATCCATATATTCCACTCCGGACACATACTCTCCCGAGAAATCACCCGTCGACGACCCCTGTGGAACAACATTCCCTATCTGGAACCCTTGCATCTTAGGTGGCACCTGGTCTGTAACGGCGGTACACTGCCCAAACCCTTCCATCGTTTCTGGCGTGGGCATACTCTCGCCAGGCGTTGCGTGTTGGGACCTTCTCCCCCCAGACCTCGTGCCCTTCTTCCCATTGTTATTGATCCCTTGCACTCTCCTGGCATACCACCCCCGGGTCAAATCCATAATCATGTGCATCACCTGCCAGAAATCCAGCATCTTCTGTGTCCGGCCATCATACGTCGAAAGTCCCTGCATCCTGTAGCACAGACTCTCCAGATACAAATCCAGTCTCACGCGGTCCTGGGCAGCCTTAGCGTCCCACTGAAGTGTGGCCAGGGATTCGTTCGATAGACAGAGACGGGAGACGGTGACGACGACGTGCGGGAAGCGGATCCATTCTGCGAAAGATATGGTGTGGTATAAGGAGGTGGGGAACGCGACGAGGGTGTCGAGAAAGCGTTTACCGGCTTCGAGAGTGGCGAGCAGGGAGTTCAGTTGTGTAGTGTTGCTGACTCCTTGGTGGTGGAGTTCTAGTGGTGCGGGGCGGAGAGATACGGCGTGGAGCTGCATGTCAGTGAAGGCGTGACAAAGGTCGAGGACTACAGGAGGGGTCGACTGTCAGTGAATTGCAAATGACGTAGATGGGTATATTCCTTACCTCTACTCTCACAGTCCGCTTCATTCTTATCTCTCTTCCACTCCTCCAGCTGAGTTTCAATAAACCGCAAGTTCATAGAGACCCTCGAGTCTGTGATGGGTAGATTCGCCGCATCTTCCACGTCGAAGCTGTCGTGGATCTGATCATCAATACGGCGCAGTGAAATCAGCCGCATGATGATCTTGTCTGATTCGAATTCGTGGTTGACGTAGAGATTCCTCCCACACTTTCCCATGTACTCAGTGTACTTGAGTAGGTTCGGTTTCATCATAGCCATGGCAATTCTGTCCACAGTTAATCAGATACAAGACCATATACTTTGGGGAATAATACAGTACGCAGAAGATAGATAATAGCAACCGAGGAAAGCACGTTGTCGGTCCCGCTGTTCTTCAGGAGAAGGTGGTCGGAATCGTTGCCTTCCTAGGACAGGCAGCCCTCTTTTGTGCTCCTGATACAGGCCAAGGTCCATTGCCAATCCCACCGCGAGCTGAAGGAGAGAGTATATTTGCTGGGTTTGGTGGCTAAACAGAAAATGGTACCTGCATTTATGAGCACTGCTTCACAAAGAGGAATCATCATTTACCATACCATGCGAGATAGACGAGCATGCTTTGAAGCAGTGACAGGGTTCGTCGCGGGTGAATGATTGTGCGGTTCGCCAGCTCCACACGGTACTTCTCATCGAGCGACCTCTGACGGGCATGGTTTTTCCATGATGATACGGTCAATATGGCAAGAAAAACCATCGGCTTGCTGGAACTGAGCTCACGCGCAGTGACGTGCGATGGAACAGGCACAAAGGGGTACGACTCAGTCATAGAGCGATACTCGTTCAACAGATTGTCGGCCTCACCACTCGAAAGCAGTTCCTGTACTAGGTCTCCTTGGATAGGTGCCTCATCGCGCGCAGCAGTGCTGAACATACTGCCAGGAGGCCTAGTCAAGTCGGATTCATCGTCGCCGAAATGATGAATTTGGCGGATCCGTTCAGCGAAACGTCGATCCTGCTCGGAGCGCTGTTCCTGATCTGATTCCGAAGGTTGCTCAGACGATGATGCAACCGGATGCCAACGGCCAGGGACAGAAGAGCGTGTATGGGCAGGAAGAGCCACTGTGCCGCTACCATGACTGGGCGGTTGTGTTGACTGGAGAGGTCCGGGCTCCGCTGCAGGCCGAGCAACATCTGAATTGACGAGTGTAGCCACCAACCCGTCAATTTTCTGCTCGACTTGAGAGATACGTCTGGCCTAGGTCAATGCAAGGCAAAAGACTTATAATGCCGGGGAGGCATACGAAGGACCCCTTGCTCGTCTAGCCTTTCGTGGTATCTCCGCCCACGTACAGTCCCTCTTTGCTTGAAAGCACCTGGGTCCATCAGAATCACAGTAGCAAGTATAGAAGACCGAAATCCCTCCAAAACCGGTCAGTTACCTTTGACATGTTCCTGCCCGCTCGCTTGGCAGACACCGTGTCTTCAGACTCCGGCAACGTTGGCATGCTTGAGCGGTGCGTGTCTGCCGCTCTCCGGACGGCCCGGACGGTTGTTCAACTTCTTCCATTTTGTGGATTGTCTCTGAACGATGTCGGAATCATGAATGAGGGCCGTCGTATTGCGGGTTTACACCTCCGACTGAACCGCCGGGCTTGGTTTCACAGGGGTATAGGGTAAGAGACAAAGTAATTGGGCTGAAAGCGTCTCTTTCTAGGTATAATGAACCGTAATCCCTACGTTTCTAATGACCTAATTGAATTGTAACCAATTGAGTGCGCCGAGCAGGTTATCTAACCTACGGAGGAAGTGCAGCCCTGTGTTCAGACGGAACGGAAGCTGCAGTATGAGGGCAGAAACCCGACCACGGTCGGAAGTTCAGATTACTTCCGTCCCGACTTCAGCTCTATTAGATGCGAAAATGGGCGTAATACTTGGCGTGCAGCCCAAGTTTATACCCTCGCTCTGCAACAATCAAAAGGCCGAAAGTTAGAGTACAACGATCGTAGTGTATGCCTTTCCTTTATCAGCACAGCTTTTTGCTTTGATATAGGGTATACAATGTCGAAAGGCAGAGAAGGCCTAAGACGGCGCGGTAAAGACTTGCCATGTTTACCCTTACTTTTGCATTTGGGTAACTTAAGCTAACGGTTTATGGAATAGCGTGCCCATTTCAATTCTATCTCAGCTTGAGAACGGTGCCTGGAAGAACGAACCATGACACTTGCGAAATAGATCAGTTTGCAGTTGAAGTCTACGGTCCCAATTCTGATATTTTCGTTCTTCAACAAACATTGGGCCATTGAAGCGATCTAACTACGGCTTCATATCTCTATATTGGCATGGATATTTATCTACCGGTAGCGCGAGCCAATCTCTAATAAACCTGAACTAAAAGCCGCTTATGCCGGTGTCCTCCGTAACCTTCCTTTAACATCCAAAACTAGAACCTCGAAGCCAACCGCCAGCCGTACCATAATGTCGCCCCAATAGTAATCAGGTTCAAGTGAATGCTCACCGCGTGGTTCCTCGAAAAAGCTCGACTGACAAGACGCATTTCATCGCTGGATTCGGTTGTGGTATCTGTAGCGCCGTACATTTTGCCATCGCGAGTTTCTGCTCAGCCGTCAGGCGCCTTTTTCTAGGCTACGTTCCCCATCGAATCCCTTACCTTGGTGTATGCGATCAATCATACCTTGTCTAGTCCTCGGCCCAAACACTGTCAGGTTGATGATAGCACTAATGCCAGCGACCACAAACGGTATCCAATCGCTTTTCGATTCCAGGAGCGACAGAGGTCCGTACGGTGGCACAGTGGCCGCTGTCAGCACTAGCAGCAACGTTTGGCCCTGAAAGTATAGAGGGAAGATCCTCTTCTGCAAGGTCGTGAACGCAGACCGCGGGAGGACTTGGTAGCAGACTTTAGTTATGACGAAGCTTTGGTATAGCTCGGTGCCGAGGAGGGTAGAGTAGAGCAGTAGGTGGATTTGGGCTACGCCTGGGAGATAAGAGTACACGGTGTGGGGAACGTCCTGGAGCCGCATTTCGTTCATATGGAGACGTCTTCGCGTGTAACTAGCTTGTGTACACAACCACACATTGCTCGACATATTTATACTGTAACCGATGTCTGAACATCGGATCGGGCTGTAGATTGGCTCGCCGCTCCGTGGCCGGTCAACTGGAGGTTAAGGGTGAACTACACGACAGGGTTCGAACACTGGCATGCACCGACCCACTACAGAGCGTTATTTAACATATTGATGTCTTTTTCCGATTATCTAGCCAAAGACGACCAGATTCACGGTGCGCGTTGCTACCGTCAAAGAAATCGGTAGTTCATCACTCGAAGCGTACCTGCCTTTCTGTTGACTGAGTAGGACATGGTAGGCTACGCATGTGCGCTAGTCTTACAAGGGTCAGTCTTAGGGATACAAAAACTCTTTCAGCTGTTATTGAGACTTTCCATTCCGTACTCGTCTCAATAACCAAGCCAGCCTAGCACGCACAGTTTTTGCATCACAGACAAACATCAAACAAGTGATTGATAAGCCTTTTAGACGAAAGGATAAGGCCGCATCGTGGCTATGATTGCAAACAATTCATAGGCCATGCTTCTAGAGGCACCTCAGCAAATTCAGCCAATAGACATATAGTGACTGCCTATTAAGTGTACTAGGCTTGGACGTGGGTTATGCCTGGCCCCACTGTGTAATAGTTTGCTCTACCTGCAGGGTACCATCAATAATCGGATTCCGATCAAGAGGTCACAGTTATTCGTTTAAATCTGGCCCACATATCAGGCCTTGTACGATCTTTGTACTTCGTAAAGGCAGAAAGTAACCCTGAGCCATTGGCAGCATTGAGGGCCATTCATACTCGCGTCATATTGGTCGTCGACTCCCTGTCGCACACCCATTGCTCGCAGGGCCAACGTGTAACGGCCACAGTCTACCAGATCGTCATACACCAAACTTATCGGCTCAAACCGTGCGGAAGCTGTTCGATTCACTGGCGTGCTGAAATACCACAACATCACACAGCAGGACACTGTTCCTTCCCCAGGCCTTACAGCACATTCGATCAACCGTCTTCGTTCACTTGTCCCATGTATTCGAAAGTAGCAGACCTAGCCTTGGACATGCCTACACTTTGTACATGTAAACCGATACCGAGCCAAAAAGCTCTGCCATTCATACGACCCTCTGCTGTACGCATTGGAAGCCGTGCAGCACGGTCCAGCACTGCCATGTGTTGACTAGGCGATTATAGGAACCACCACGGGTACGGTCATGCAATGAGGCTCGTCGATCTTGATCGGTGATCCGCAAATCTCAGTCATTTCCACCCTCGTTGGGTAATGCCGTTTTGGGGAGAAGAGAGGCGCGCAGGTGAAAATGCAAATCGGCTCGTATCGTATGACGTAGGCGACAAGGAGAAGCAAGAGCACGAGCACAATGGTGATGTAAAGCTTCGGATGATTGGGAGAGGACAGGTTTGGAGTCGTGCTGTTTGGGCTATCGCTTTTTCGTTCAGTATTGCCGCCTTGTTTTTTGTCGGACATGGTGATGAAAATCTGGCAAGTTGGGGGCGTGGCAAGATTTGTCCGTCTGTTGCTGGTTCTTTTAAGGGCTGGGGGCTGGTCGTAGACCTCGCCGCAAGAGATCTGGGCGGGGGCTGCGGCTTCTATGAAGATTTCGGGGAGGGTAGGGGTCCTCGTCCGTGCGTGAACGTCTGCGGTCATGAAATGTTTCCAAGGCTGTGCATATTCTTTCATCATAAGAATTTACGCTGACTTGGTGGCTAAAATTGTAGACTACTTCACGGAGCCACCGTTGGAAAGCATGCCAACGACAGCCTCATGATCAGCGACTTCAAGATTCAGATTCGTAACGAGGACAAGCCTGACGAGCTGAAAGAGGTCCAAGCTTAACGTGGCCGACCAGCTCGTGCACATGACCGGCTCGTGCACGATTTTAGCGACCCCGCAGAAAAAAGCCCCCATTTTCAACAAGCTATATCTCAACCAATATGGGCGATATTGAGGCAGCTCTTGCT